GAGGTGAGGTTGCACGTGAAAGTCAACCAGTGATTGCTCACAGGCGAACTTAATTGAATTATACGCCGGCAAACACAAGCCGAATTGCATTCTATCTGCGGGGCAATCGGCAAAATGTAATATACCATAAATTATTTTTAATTAAATTGATTTCAAACGAAAATTATTTTTAATGTAATATTCATTTTTTTTACATCGTATGCGAAGAATCCGTTGAAATAATATTGTTGTGTTTGCTGAGAAAATTATTAAACGCATCAAATAATAAATCTGCTATTCGTAAACCAAAAATAAAATTTAATTATATAAAATTTCAATATTATTTTTTGTTTAGCTTTACGTGACTTTTCAAGCAGGAGAGTCAATGATTTACTTTACATCATTATTTCCAAGAACGCGCGTTCACCGCCAAACGATATTATATTTATCTTTTAATTAGCGAATTTTTTCTCGCACTACATTTCGCATTTGACTCCTCTTGTTTTCAGTTCTGTTTCGCGCGCGTTACCGCGCGCTCACGCGCCTCCTCTTCTTATTTCTCGGGGTTGTACGCTTTTACGCTTTTACACCAATGGCACCAAGTGGAGCGGTGAGAATTCGTCGCCCTGGCAGCAGTTACGCGTCATAGAATTCCGCATATGTAACGCGCGCCTCTATTTTTCGCCGGCTGTGAAAAATCCGTGTCTCGTCGACGAGATGAGACGCGTCGAGAGGTCGTATTTCTTTTTTATCGTTCGTCGCTCATGAAAAAATTCTCTAATAATACAATCTCTCAAAAATATATAGTTTAAAATACTTTTTTGGGACATATAATAAATTTAGTATTACGCTTTCCCAAAATATTTGAAAACTGTAAATCGAAATTTTGTCCACCTACGATTTGAGAGGCAGTAAATATTTTTTTAATTTAAAATCCACCGTCGTAGTTAAATATCAATTTTCTTCAACATTTGACCTGACGGGGAATTATCGGAAAATTCACGGGAGTCGTAGTTGGAAGCAGGCACATTCATTCTGAATCCGGATTTTCAGGCATTGTTAAACGCGCTTGGCTGCATGCCAATTGTGCATGGCGTCCCTACTTGCCAACTCGATTTCGATTGCGTTGTACAAAGAACACGTTTAGCCAAACTGTCCTCGGTTATTTGCAAATGGCACAAGTCAAAATATAAAACAATTAAATCATTAACTTTTTGAAAATATTGTTTTTTAAATCCAAAAAAATGTTTTTTCTCTCTCAATTATTTCATCGCAACAATTTCTTTTTCTATCACATTGAAATTTGTTACATAATACAAATCTGTAACATTGTTAATGGGTATTATGTTTATAATAAAACAAACCCTTCCGATATGATTTTATTTTGTAGAATTCAATAAATATTTGTCATTGACAGTAGCAATTGAATTGAAATAGAGCTGCAACTTTCATCAAAAATGTTATTTATCACAACGTTAATAGAAAGTCTTGTTTCGCGGATTAAATGCTCATATGAGGCAGGATACTGCGCCACGGCAGTGACAGAAAGCAGTCATTCGTCAGACGTAACAGCTGAAGAGGCTCCTTGACGCCGCAGTAGTAGTGGCGGCCAGACGCGTCTCGAGCTGACGGAACAAAATGGTTCACGTCGACGATTAGTCAGACGGACACGTAAATGTAATTGCTCAAAATTCGATGTAAACTGAAATTTTCTATCTCTATTAAAGCTAAACGAGCAAGTAAATTGTACGAGATATCGGAATATTAAATTGTCTAATTAAATTTAATTTGATATTAATAATAATATATGTTTAATGAGCGGAAAATATTTAATGATTATTAATATGCGAGAATTTTTTTCTTAAATTATTATTTCTGTTTTCTTAAATTATTATTTATTTTTTCTTAAATGTTTACTTTATAAGAATTTTTCATAATACTTTCGAAACGTATCATTTCAACGATTCGGTACGTATGAGATAAAAAGAGTTGTCTAAATTGCTCAGAATTCTTTGGATGTTCGACATAGTTCGTCTTATCATTATGTGACACGCGCAATTACACGCGCGATTATCAGTTCTCTGCACGAAGCCAAACCGCGATTGTTAAGGTATTGTTCTGGGGCAAACGCATAGTCTCAAAGTGACCCGTTAGATTAGCAAGCCAAAGTCCTGATTAGGAATGACCCGGTATCTAGAAACGGTGTGCATGTGACAGCTATTCGCTTCTAGGACGTCCTCTACCTGGCGAACCCTGAATTTCCATCCCTATACATCCATAATGAGCTCTTGAAGCTTCACAATAGTCCAGTGTGTAACCGAAACTAGCGGTGGGTAATTTCGCATAGGACGCGCGCGGGGAAGCCAAATCAGCTCGATCGACGAGTGCATTCCCGACTCGTCTAATCGATGGGAATCGTGAACGAGTTGCGCGAACGGTGAACAGTGGCTGCCAAAGTGAACGGTAACATTCCCCGAGAGTTGATGGAATTACTTAAGGACGCGTTAAGTACTATAGGGAGGCGATATTATTACGGCAAGTTTCTAAAGAGTTCACGTCTTATTTTATATAATTTGCTTTTCCAACAATTTGATTATAAAACTAAAAAGGTTTAAATTTTTGATAAAACTATTTGTTACTAACTATATTATTTCCTTGAGTAAGTCGTTATATAATAAATAGAATGGAGAAGAACAACATTACGGACAAATTTATTGAACTGAGAAAACAAGTAGCTCGAAGAAGTTAGGAAACTATTGCTTTAGAATCCTTCGTAATCTTGTACGAGATAACATTCATATATTAAACAATTTTAATATCTTGTAATTCTTTAATATTTCAAACTTTAAAGATGAAAATATTACGTGCTATTTTCAAGTGATAAAAAATACGCGTTATGAATATCCCCGCGCGTTGGAAAATCTGACTAAAACAGTCTTCACCGAATTAACAATAAACATCTGGACAGATTTGATGTTTGTCGCGGCGCGAATCTTGTTGAACAAATAAATATTTGGTATTTGGACGCTTCTATGCCGCTTGGATGAGTTTCTACTAGAAATATCACGAGTCGTCGATCGCATGCTGCCTTTCATCGGTCTCTCGCGAAACCTGTCCTGCTCGCAGACTTTGATTGAGCGCCGTTTTTCCAGGCTCACCGCGAATGCCATTAAACATGAATGAAAGAGGGAAGAGTTGCGCGGCCGTTGCTTCCCCGTACGTTCGTTTCTCATCCGAAACATGGGGCCGAAATGCCTGGCATGAAACAAACGACGCGGCTCATCGATAATTCATTACCATCTTCCATCAATTCCTTATCTTGGCATGCTCTACGATCCACGGGAATCGCCCCTCGTAATCTCTCTGATGGAATCGGCTTGCGGTTAACGAGGGAGAGGAAATACCGCGCTGTGGATTATGACGTTTGGCGAATTTTTTGAAATATTTTATGCATCGCCGCTTAGCGGATGTGAGATACTTCGCATATCCGTCTGGCTCATATCTGTCAGTAGACAGCTCGCGAATTTACTCTAATAGACATAAGGAATATTTAAATGCGCATGTACTCGTATAAATGTTATGTTTGTACATTTTCCCTCTCTCGTACTTTATGTTCTTGATTTTAAATGAAATTTCCTTCAGCAGAATCGTTTGAATTATTACGATAAATTTGTGGATGTTTTATTTTAACCTGTCGTCTCTAATCTTGTGATTACATTGAGAGCTCTGTAATTGAGTTAATTCCACCGGCCGTTCGCAAGAATACCAATTCCGTAGAAAGCTAAAATGGAACTCCCATGACACTCAATGAGATAATGACTTATTATCAGAAAAAATCAAGATAAAAGAGCTAATCAATGCCAATCTAATAATACCTCATATTTCAACCCTTTGAATCATCGATTGTAATCTGTGAAATAAAATAATTATGATGATTATATTCTTAAAAAGCTCAACTGTGCAGTATTTTTTACGGAGGAAATATGGTAAAAGTATCGTAGTAGGAAGGCACTCTATTCGACAACCTTCATTTCCCATAAATTTTTAACCACGGATACGATTTTTCACGGCTCTGGAAAGTGCACTTCCGAGTTTGAAAAATGCTATTCGTGAAAGAAAATTTACGGACCACCGATGACAATATTCTTGACCGCAATAAGAAATCGATTTCAAAAAGATAAGACAAAGCATTGTGTAACAATGTACTTTTCTACTATTAAACAATAGAAAACCATTCCAATATCAAAGTTATATAAAGTAAAGATTTGTAAAAGCTATTAAAAACAGTGATGCAATACACGTAATATGCCGCGTATATATAACAAATATAATTGCTTTTTATTGATGAGCATCACATCAATCTGGAAATATAATGAATCATGCCTTAATCGATTACGTTAGAAAATAGGTGCAACGATCACCATAGCGATTAAATGTGTTGAACAAATTTCCAATAAACGGCAAGTCCCTACTTTGTTGACTAATTATAAACTCGATAGAAATAACCTTGTCAGAAATAAATAAAAATAAAAATAACAAATAACTAACAGAAAAAAGGCCATAAAAGTCAAAGCGCAGAGTGCAAAAAATTTTTATTACAAGTCAATATAGAGTAGTGATACAGAATGCACAAAAATGTTTCAACTCAATTTTTGAATCCCCTTCAATTTGATATGATTGTAACCAGTGATAGTGATCCTGCGTAAACAACGTGCGGCAATGACTCGTTAGTGTAACACAACTTGGCTGACCTTGTTACTGGCATGTTGTTTACACGGGATCGCTATTACCAGTTACAATCCTTTCAGACTGAAGAGGGCTCGAAAATTCGGCTGAAACCTTTTTGTATCTGTATTACTACTCTATTGATTTTTAATAAAAATTGTGTGCGCCTAGATATTTGCGCTTTGATTCTAATAGCCCTTTTTCTATTAGTTTTTTTATTATTACATAAATATACATGTAATGTATTAAAAATAGTAAGATCGTACAATTAAAGGATCTTAATATTTATGTTACAGCGTGCAATAAAACGTATTACGGCGACGTCGGGAAGACGTACGATTTGGAATTGCATCGACCGAAGGAAGATAAGGTGCCTTACATATGCAAGCTCACCTTTAACGCGCCAGGTGACGATTTCGGTGATATCGTGCAGGTGAGTCTTCGAACCATTCGAGATATCTAATTATCGCCACGATATTAGATGGCATCGCGCTGATGCTCTACGATAGCGTCGTTCGCAACGAAAAACGTAAGATGATTTGTTCACGAATGATGAAGAAAAGAGCGCCTCGGAAATTTGCAATAAATTACACTTCACTGAATCGGACTTTAATTAAAGGATGCATTAACGAAGTAACGAAATTCAATAAAGAAACAGAAGACAACGACGCTGGATTATGTAGCAAATTAAATTCTGAATACTTAAGTTTTTATCGAATCGATCATTAGGGAAGCCGTGAGTCCAAACAAATGATTACTTTTCTTGCGCAAACACGATAACTTTGGGTATCTTAATGAAACGCGTTTTACTCGACGGAAAATTTCTAAATAAATTAGGCAACCGCTCGAAATGTATACAGAACAAGGGAACGTTTGCAATTCACACGCACATTTCTCGCGACGCGCAGCGGAAATAATTACATTCTGTTCAACTGGCGGAGAAAAATTAACGGTGGAATTTTTAATAACCACCATATTTTTTTCGATTGTGCGAAACTGTGAAACTGACCGCACGCCGAGTTTCTGAGAGCGCGAAAACTTTCTCGTTTTCGCCGAAATAGCCTCCGGCTGTCGAATTATTTACACGGCAATATTTGCTGGCTTTCTCATATCTGTATAGCGTGGGTCACGAGAATCTCTTGTACGTACCGGTGGTCTGCGTGCAGATGTTTACAGGTTGCGTCAAAGGGGCCGCAGCCGTGCCAAAAATCGTAACGCAAAACAAAATGCGGCGGTTGCGCGGAATTGCGTTTTGAGAATTGCGTTCGAGTCAACACGGATTCCCATTATTTAAATACCGTTTGATATCCGTAAAGCGAACTCCATATCTCACAATGAACTACAATACGATCAAATATTACGTATAATATTCTCTACTAACTAATATTATTTTATCATCTATTTAAAAAACACGTTTTTTTACGAATAATTAAACATTATTCAGCGTTTGCGTCACGGCGAGATTTTTGGTTTCAGCTGACCTTCGACAGCTTTACCCTAGGCAAGTTCGTGTCGTTCACCGCGGAGGGCTGCCCCGATGGGTCCCTGCAAATTTCGGAGGCGCAGCGTCCCGACGTCGGCGGTCTCTGGTGCGGCACGTCCTGGGGACCCGCGATCTACTACAGCGAAACACCCAGCGTCTCCATCATCCTCAAGCTGCTCAGGCTCAGCAAAGATCAGACGGGATTTAACTTTGATTTCAGAATGGCGTACAAAATGATCAAGAAGTCGGACGCGGTAGTGCGCTATGGGAATCCCTTTGTCGGTAGGTGACCAGCTTTCGATTATGGATTTTAAGCACGTTTCCTGGAGTTTGCTTCGACATTTGTCTCGCGCTCTTTCGTGGCTTTTATTCCGTGTACTCGTTTCGCAGAAATCAGTTTGAAGCAAATTGAATATTTTCAGTAGCTCGACTAAGATACAACTAGTACTAAGATACAACTTCTAGTTCTGCCACTGTTATCTTACTTTACAAATATTATTGTTACAAAACATTGTTTGCTAAAAATATAAACAGAAAAAAAATTGCAGAACACATTAGTCATTTCATTAGAATATATATAAATTTTTCAAATCTGAAAATCTATTAGTTGTGATATAGTAAAAATCGTTTTTTGTTCAATTAATTAATGATTTTTTAATATGCTTTCTAAATAAATATTTAATAAATTAATTCTCCGAAGCTCGAATTTTGTTTGCAAAAGTGCATTATCGACCATCATTACGGGCGATGAAATTGCGCGGACAAAGAAATTCCCGATATTTTTCGCCGTCAATGATTAAAATTCCAATGTCACGTGGTCAGGAATAACGCAGGTCGCCGGGACGCCGGCGTCGACCGAGCGCACGTCCGTCGAGTATGCGAACACGTCAATGGCAATGCCAGTGCAAATGGTCGAGCAACACGTGCCACCACCTACGAAGCCGACCTCCGAGCAGTTCTTAGGGGACCTAATATCCGGGACTTATTGCTCCCGTATATTCACCGACTGCGACCGGAAGAAATGCAGATTGCAGTCACCCAACTTCCCCGGTCTTTATCCACGCAATCTCACCTGCTATTATGCGGTAAGACTCGCCTAAATTGCCATCCTTGTGACAAAGCGCGATGTGATTTTATTCTATACTGTAATTTGCAGAGCGTCCGTATTTTAAACAATATTAACACAATAAATCTGCTGTTTCGAATTTTATGGGATCTTTAAATAAGACGTACAAATTCCATGTAGCAATCCGCAAAAAAAATGAGTTTAAAAGAGTTTCGTATTTTTCACAATCCCTTGGGCTGCTCATTAGAGTAACGCTTTCGCCGCATCAGGCCGTATCTTTAGGGTAATGTATCATCGCTCGAATTAATTTGCTCGTCGTCGAGCAGATGCGCGGCAGTGATATACGATCGACATAGTCAGACACGACTCCTCTCCCCGGAGCCTTGACACGGCTCATATTTCTGTTTCAAGCAGACACACCTGCGGCGGAAGTCGTAAAAATGGCTCGCTTCCTCTCACACGCGGTTAACAAATTTTCGGAACGGTACCCTTCCGGTGGCCATTATTTCCCCTTAGCATCTCACCGTGCGAGTCAGTCGCGTCTCCTCGTCACGTAAATCAACTTGCGCGACGGTTTTCTGGGCAGTTTGCAATTTTTTGTTTGTACAAGTTCAGACTCAAAATTGATTCGAAAGCCAAGTCACCGAGTTCTACACGCGAGCAAATATATCGACAATATTTTTGCAAATAAGTCGACACCGATTTTGTAAACTGTAAATAACTTTTCCTTTCTTCGCTGAATATTCAATTTCACTTTCGTACGAAAATTTGTAATTTACCACGAAGCTCAACAGCTAACGGCGATTGGTAATTAATGTCAGTATCCGTAAACATATATTATCGCTAATCGATGCCGCGGAACTAATCAACATCCTAGATACTCTGTCACTATCGAGTCGATGAACGAAATATGCGAAGGTAGAATTTACGGTCTGCCGTTTCAACGCCGTAGGCGATCATTTGTTCTCTTCGTGTGCAACTAGACAGGCAGACACTCGTGGGACTTGCACTAGATAGACTTCGATTACGAGTGAAGCTCGCGATCTCTGTGTCGGTGTTTCTCTCGATAGTTCATCTTATTCCGAAACTCGAATACAACCATTGTGACTTTTATCGTGCACTTACGCCCAACGTCCGATTTAAAGCTATCGATGTCTGTACAAAAGGTCGATTCTCAAGCTGTTTATCACGTTTCTACTCTATTAATTCAATCACGAAGAATAAATGAATTAGAATCTATTTTTACGTTGCACATAAGTCTGTGCGATAATTTTAATATAAAGCACTGTTTGCTATTTTTTAATTGTACAATAAAAACTTAATATCTTATGCAAATTTATATTTTCTAAACAAGGAAAAATAAGTTTATTTCAAAATCTTATGGAAAAATTATTCTATCTATTTAATCCTTAAGTGCGTGAGTTTCCTAATTAAAAAATAAATGGCAATTTTTTATGTAGAAACCAATGTTTACAGCTGCCACGAAAGTAAAAAAAGCTAATGCTAATATTTGGTATAAACATAACATTGCAGCTGTACAATGCTTATATTCACATTTATGCCTGAATCTTCAGTAACGCCGCTAAGAAAATACAAATGAATTTATAGTTGCATACTTTCAAGCGAAAAATGCATCTCAGGATTAAGATAAAAAATTCTATGCTCCTCTAAAGGAAAACGGAAGGTGTGAAAACAAACGATGTTCTTACACTTACGTGATTACGCCGAGACATTTTGCTTCTTCCTTGCTTACCTGAAAACAGAAATTGCAATATATGTAATATATGTATATATAACAGAGAAAAAAAAAAAATTTATCAACATATAGAATATTCTAGGTGGATATGAATGAATTAATTTGCATTTCTCTGTGCGACATAGGTGAGGCAGCACGATGTACCGCCGGGCAAGCACGCTTTAATACACGTAAAACAGCCCCGAGGCCAATTGGTAGCTGTAAGGGCGCGACCAGCTACTCAGGCTGAGCCACCACCCCGGGAACTGCGTCTCTGGCAAGATTGTGACGTCGTTCAGGTACATAAAGCCACCGCGAAAATTGGATTAGCTGTTATAAATTCGAGACAGAGACGGAGAAAGGATGGGAGCACAGTAGTCGCGAGGCAACGTGACCGGTCTGCCAAGCAGCCGCGCTGCTTTTGCATAGTGATCTTCCGCCGGTGGAAAAATCTTTAAGTGTCGTATTCTTGGTCACAAAACCGGAAAAGTCACGATTATTAGATATTTCCGTTGCCAATATGTTGAAAAATCGTAGATGAATAAAAGTTGAAAGACAGACATTTTCCGGTGAACGTGTAATCAAGCGCAACTACGAAAGGAATTAAATGCAGCCGCACAAGTTCACGCCTTTGCGGTGGTCTATTCTGGATGATAGATTTATAAGGTTTCCTCCCACCCCGTTTCTTTTCAGACAGTTTGTTAACACTTTTCAGACTTTTTTCCACTCACATTGATGACGCTAATTAATATCTTCGCATTTAACATTTCGCAATAGTACTTTATTTAAACTGCAATTAATTTCCAAATGATGCTGCTCATCCATTCATTGAGAGATAAAAAGATTTGTTTTTACAGGACTACGTAACAGTGTACGACGGATACACGACCAGGGAGCCCGTGATCCTCAAATTTTGCGGCGGTGGGGAGCCAGTACCGGAGGCCATCAGCAGCGGCCCGGAAATCCTCGTGGAATTTACTACCTCTCCTTATGGCACCTTCTTACATCCGACGCCACCCCATTCCCTACATGGGTTTCAATTAGAAGTGCAAGTACGTGAGAGCGCTTCCCATAAAGCGCATAATGACCGCCTTAATTAATGCTTAACTTATCCATCCCTTCTTAATCACCCATAAAATTAGACACTTTAGGTACGTAGAGATAGCACTCTAGGACAGAGAGAATACTTTGTAAAGTAAACCGTGTCAGAATATTAACTTTTTGATAGTTACATACACGCTATTAAACGTCGGATAATTACTGTTATTAATTGCCCGTCAATGCAAACGAAAATGACAGCCAAGGGAAATTTCCATACATATTGGAACAAAACGAAAAAGAAAAAAATGATTACGTACAGCGTAACCTTTTCAAGGGCTGTAATATATATTATTATAATCTCACTTGAATTTACCGAAAATATTGGAGCTCATTTCATCTCGCTGATTGCGCATAAAATCCAATGAGCCACCGTAGCGGAAACAACGATATTATTCCCTCCCCCCGCCGCTCGCATTATCTCATAAAATTTCCTAACGACACGCTGCGAACACACATTTGCGTCGGATAGGATCGCAGACACGCGATCGTACGGGTAATTCGCTCGGGTAATTCGCTCGTTCCCCTCGGAAGGGATGCGGAATCGGCGACGCGAAGCCCTTAGTCTTACCGAGACTGCACGCAACACAAACGCACGTCGGCTTTCAGGTCACGTTCGTAGACGCCGAATCACCGACCTATGCCAAGAATAAGCGTTGCGAGTTCTGGCTGAGGGGCACCGGCGGCGGCGTCCTGGCATCGCCGCGTCACTCACTGCCCAGGAACAGCACGTGTCTGTATCATCTTCGAGGCGCCGGTCCCACCCTGCCGAGCCCGACGCCCCCGCGTCCATTGCCGAAGTTCCCGGAGCAGAGGCCGGGCACCGTCTGGAGGAGACCGGCCCCGCGGCCGCCGCAGCCGCAGTTTCGCGTATGGTTGTCCATCCTTAAATTCCACGTGGGTACCAGTCTGTCCACCACGGAAGAGGATTGCTCGACGACACTGATGGTCTGGGACGGCGAGATGATGCCGCTGTCGGAGTGCAACGACGTCGCCTGGTGAGCGCAATAAGCTTCACAGTCCGCTCGCGAATCGATCTTGTATTTTAGGAGAAACTTCCGGGAAACTTATTTCGCTTTCTGAGATTATTACCTTGTTAACTTCGGGTTATGTTAATCTCCGCTTCTTCTTATTAATTTGTTAATTTTCGAGTCTTAGTAAGATCTTTTTAATCTTTTTAATTATCAAAAAAAATGTTTAACTTTCGTAGGAGATATTGAAGATTTAATGTTATGTTCGTTTCAGTGAGAAAGAACGTCAGCGTTACGCCGAAAGAATGGGCGACCCGCTTCAAACCGTTCTTGCGCGTCCTGCGAGCAACACCACGTTGCTAGCGAGATATTGCAAGGACAAAGTACCGAGGACTTGCGATCACGCTATTTTACAGAACACCAGTCGTCCGTGCTCTTTGGGAGAAAGCTTTGTCTCTTCCGGCAGCAGTCTAACTATCGAGATGCGAATGATCGAGTCAACGGCGCTCAGGCAAGTGTTAATTTTTATTGCAACATCTTTTTACATTTTTTTATTGCTACTCGGCGAAAGGAATAAAATTAAAATATTCTGCACTACTTTATTTCATTGCGAGCATACTAAAATCGTTGAAGAAATCCAAATTAAATATATATTTCAAAACGAGTATAAAGCGAAAAAGATTTTTAAATTAAATTCAAAGTTAGAGTATTTCTTATCTTCTATATATATTTTACTTGAATTTATTATCCTGCTTGTAACTTCTGGTATCCATTTGGAAAGTTATATAACTTCCGTAACTTTTAACATTAATTGGTTTCTAGAAATACGAACTAGTGCGACAACAAATATCGCAGAGGATGAATAAGTTATATTAATTATATTTCTCTATTCTGTTGAGAAATTATATTAATTCTCTCTTTTTTAATTCAATCATAATTTAAATATTCCTCGAAAAAGTAAATAAAAATTGATAACTGCGTACACTAATATACATGCAAATCTGACTGTAAATTCGCGAAAAATCTGCAAGATCAGAGGATGCCTGTAATGAAATATTCTCTTTGAATACTTTTGTTTTTTTCGAAAAAGAGATCAAGCAGGCAATAATAGGTTGCCGAAAAATTTCGAGGGAGCGCGTTACAATGGAAATTGCATCGACGAGTAGTAGAACGTTTGAAGAGTAGCGTGCCAATTCGCGCTCGTTGTAATTCCATGTTTCATTCGACTCACTTATAACGCCGTATCGAACCGCCGGAGCGTTAGAAGCGAAGTATGCGGAAACGCTTTATAGCAATACGGCGCGCAATATCTGCCACGGTAGCACGTTTCATTCGTTCGCTGCCGCGTGCTGCTACGCTGCCTACAATATAAGTTATTCATGAGAAACGATTCTCCCTTTTCCCGTCCTTTCCCTCGAGGAGGAAACGGAGATAGCGAAATTTAGAGGAATGCCGAGAGACATGCGGCGACGGCAGCCTCCACATCCATTTGCTTAATTTTATACACCCCCCCGCGTATCTCTTTCCTCCGCGAAAAGTGTTACGCTTGCCTCCTTGATTCGTCGCTACGCAAATATAAAAATTATTTAAATGAACTTGCGCTAAAACGAGTAAGCCGACTTTGTAGAAAATTTTAGACGCAAGTGTATCTTCGCTAACTCTGTATGCATAACGTTCAACGTCATATTTTATATCGATAGATATTTAAATACAATAGATTAACACATGGTCTCATGCTGCGTCGAAAGCCTTTGCACTCGACGAGTTATTAATTTATAAAGTGTAAAAAGAGAGTTCAATACTGTTAGCTTAAAAGTCAGCATCCGAGATACCGACAGAGAGCAGTTGTGAGAAATAAAAATTCAGCACAATATCCGCGTGCATATGTCGTAAAAAGAAATATTAGCTTCTGTTGAACGGTAATTAAATTGCGATTGTATTGGTCTCTTTGTGGCGTTAATCGGCAGCATTCACGTCGGCAACTGTTATATTTTCCATTTGTTCGCGCACGATAATCCCGGCGATCCTTCAAAGTGCACGCGACAAAGATCCAGATCGGCGTTTGTCGATGAATAATTGAGAGCCGGTTTTTTCTCCTCGTCGTTTCACGTCCGTGATACACTCCGATTCACATTTTGCACGCGTTACATCCGTTTATCGTGCCGTATCCGATGGCGGTATCTGCGTGTCATCGTCCTCCCTCTTTTTTTTTTCTCTCCTCGCATATCGCCTATCGGCGTATGGACACGGCGTGTTCGGGCGTGATAGCCGACGGTGAGTGACGTACAGTGCGGATGCATCGCACGGTCTAGTTAATCCTTTCCACGCGAGGTAAAACCTAGCGACGCGACGGCGCGCGCGTGCTATATAATAAGCTCAAGCCGGTTTAATAACATCCCCGTAACCGCTGGTGCAACGTCTCTCTTCAAGGCCCGTACGCCTTTCACAGTCCGCCGGGGGTTCGTCGATCTTCATCAGCGCATCGAACCCTCCGTCGGACAATGGCACACATTAACCCTTTTACCCTCGCCCGCGGTTGTTGTTACGTTAATCCTCTTCCCGTATTCGTGGATATCAAGATGTACCGAGCCATCCTCGAGCTTAATTCGATGTCCCGCCGATAGCTGGAGACTCCGAAAGCAAATATTTACATTTCCTCCTAATCGAGTTTTCCATTTCATTATTTTGCTAATTAGTTTCATAAATATAATGGGAAAAGGTGCATTCGCGTGTTTCCGTATGCACGGAGCAAATTTTATATAAAAAATTATTATTATGATACGGCAGAGTAGCCGCTGACCATAAGAGAAATTATAAGTTTAAATACTGTGGCCATTATGTGAAAAACAGTAAAAATTTTTATAATTCCTTCGCGGTCCGCGGCTACTCTCTGCCGTACAATAGTAATTTTTTACATAAAATTTTCTCCATGCAATTACGATGTAATTTAACGAATCTATTTTTGCTTGCAAAGTTCTTTTGCTTGAATAAATTAATGAATTGGATATAATGATTTTTTTTCAGACCCGTCAACTTTCGCGCGCTGTACGAATTCGTCGATCTTCATCAGGACGGCGATCCGTACGGCAGTGGACCGTGCTCTCGCGTCTTCTATAGCCGCAACCGAGACCATTATCCGGATCGTAAATTCCAGGGGCCGCGCGACATATTTCTGTACGGCCGTGGGGGATCGAAGAACATAAGGTAAGAGCCGTTGCGATAGCAAGCTTGTATATCTCCAAATACGAGGGGCAAACATTCCGCGTCTTGGACTAGTTTACCGGAAATGTGCGTTATTGTCGGACATTTCTGTCGATTAGCTCCCGGGGCTTGCCGAGCACGCCGATATTATTTATCCGCCGTAATTAATTATCCGCTGATGGAGTCGTAGTGACAGTTTGACATCATGACGGTTTGCGGTGGGACCGCATCGGTACGAAATATCGTCGTGAAAGCTAATGTAACGATGTAATGCGATAATGACGCGATAATGACGTCGTTAACTCGCTATCAGGCGCCGATTCGTGGTGGTTTGTTATTAACTAGTTGTTGCGTCGTCCCCAGTTGTAAAAACACAGCGCTTTCCCGTATCTTTTTCCCGATCGAGCGATTCACAGATGTCAAGGATGGGATCGGAATCGCACGTCGCGTGCTAAACAATGATTAAAAATGTATCGTGCATTCTCGAAGAGTCCGCGTATGACATTTTTGGCTTATTCTCGATAAAGTCAATTCTGCTTTTCAGCAATTTATTTCTCAAATACTAAATATTATTCCGAGAGATCTTTATAGTTGTCGTATGCTGCTCAGACATATCTTACGGATGAGACCTTATAGAGTAACAGTACTTCTGCAGTGAGGCATGAAGATTGCACTTGTTCCTCCATGAAACGAACATATACACTCCGTTTTTGACGGCTTTTATACGGTCCTATCGTGCACATTCTCCTTTTATTACTGTCCGCAGGATCAAATCTTCTACAATCGCGATAAAATATCAGTTAGACTGCGGCTTTACGACAAACGTAAAATGAGCTTCACACCGTTAAACTAAAATCTTCGTGTCAGCAAATTCTGCCGGGACATTTAGTAAAAAGTAAAGTTCTTATCTCGTTCATTATATTATTAACGCGGCAAATTATCTGCATTCCAAATTTGCCGGAAAAGAATATAATTTGCAAATTAAAAATTTTGTTGCAAACATGCAATCACTTGCAAAATCGTTTCTTTTTCGAGTTTATAAAATGATATAAAGTCAGTTTTCTTCCATTTAATAAAATTGCTTTTTGCATTCGTTAAGAGATTTATTTCCTGCCCAAGTAATGAAAGGCTGGAACATTTTCTGGTGAGATAATCCGTCCGCGGTGTCCGAAAAGAGATCGGAGCTTCCGTAATGATGGCTACACGTTGCCGTGATCCACTCTTAGAATCACTTTGGCCGCTTTCCGATTAACGAGCGTCCAACCTTCGATACTCCTCGTAATCTTCCTGCAGTATCGATCACTGAACCGGCTCCTTTGCCTGGTCGGCGAGGCGTATAGATTCGATTAAGTGCTGAAAGTGCAGACCAGAACGGGTTTTGCAGCTGCGTGTACCGCTTCGAAGGAGAACACGACGAGGTGGTGAAGCTGAGGTTCAACAAGCTCCTCAATGGGAATCGCACCTGCCGCAGCGTTAGCAGCTCCGACTTCAATAGGCTGCTCTGCGTGGGCTCCGAGAACTTTTCGATTAAGGTGCGTAATTGAAACTTCTGATAATTGCGATTAGTTCTGTGCTAAGCTAGTTGCATGATCGCCGAAGTTAAATTTTCTTGTTGACAATATATTTTGATTGCTTTCCGTTCGAGCATTTTCAATTTGAGAATATCTGCAGGAAGAAAAGAGATCTCTTATAGAGAGTGTGAACTGCTTGTGAATTACATGTAATCTTGATAAAGTTACGTTCGCTGCAAGCGATGTTAATTATAGATTTGCACAATAGGAATCACATAGATTCGATAGTAACAGGTGGCGTTGATCGAGTAATTAACACTAGTGGCTTCATCCATAGCAAGCGATAGCAAGTATCAGCAATCTGCGAATCCAAACATAGTAGATCGAAGTAGGCCGGCAGGCTTCGAAGTTTCCAAATAGTCAATACCGACATGAGTCAGACTTAGACGTTCGTTACGAGTTGTCTTATTAGTTCGCCGTCTAATAACGCGAATAGGAAATTGGTAGAACACGGTTTTGGGGTCGCAATTCAATAGCACGATTTATCGATTCGATGTTAGAAGAGATATTTAAAATATGAATATTTTGCATTTCAATAACTGCGTAATATTCTGTAAAAAAGACGTTCATTGAAGACACTTTCTTTAGACATGTAATGCGTTGCTAATTAAAGAGTTGAGAGTAAAAATTAAATAACATTTTCTACAAAGTGAATGTAAGTACACTGTAACTTAAAATAAAAATCTTTCAGCGAGAAGTTGTTTCAATTTTTTTTTCCATATAATTCAATTATGTTTTTAATTGAATATTAATATTTTTAATTTTGCAATATCATGAAAAACGTTATTAGCTTAAAACGAGAAAGGATGGTCAAATCATCTTTCCACCGTTTATTTACAGGTGCTCGATTTACCCTGGCCAAACGCGTCGCCCATTCAACGTGATTGTCTTTGCTCGAATCGATCGCTACCCATCAATATCAAATCCACCTCTAATATCGCCGAGGTGCATTTCACTATTCTATCTATGGACGCCTTGGATGATTACAACAATCTTTTCTTCGAGGGCACCTGGGACTTCGTCAAGACGGTGCCTTGCCTACAAAAGCGTAGAGTCAGGGGACCGTCTGGCGAAATTAAATACACATCACCGTCCGAGGACGAGGAGGTAAATGTGAAAAACTTTTATACGGCGTCACTGTAAGCTGCCATCTTGAATAATTTCAAATAAAAAGTCTTGAAAAGTTAAAAAACAAATACATTATGTTTCAAATTATGTCTTGCAGTAAAAATTTGATAATACATTTTTGATAAATAAGAATACACGTTTATGAATAAAAAATTAAAACGTAACGAGTAAATAATATTTTAGATCGCAGTTTTTAGCGACTCATCCACTGTATTTATCTGCATTCACTTCAAGTATACCAATGTCTTTTTTGTCGTTTGTTCCAGCAAAAGAATTGCGAGAATCAACCGTGGCTGATCGATCCCGGTCCGACTCAATACTTGTACGTAAAGATGCACGGCATAATAATGTCGAACACCACGGAGTGCGCGACGAAAAATCGCATTGTCGTGCACACGGGTGGTGTGATTCACGTCTCGGTGTGCCCGAAACCGTCTGCCGACTCGAGGCATCACGTGGTGGAGGTGTTCAGCGACGGTTGGGCCGTCAGCAGAAACGCGATGATCCTCGCGCCGGGACAAGATCCAGTCAGGACCATCGCCGTGGAGTTCATCGTGAAAGAACCTGCTTCCTACACAGTCACGTGGCTCGAGCTCACCAGAAGGTTCGTAATAACGATATTTTATAATATCGTGAAATCAAGCGGATAAAACGAAAAGTTCGAAAACGGAAGCGAAATTAAAGATTCAATTAGTCGGCTGTGATTCGCGAATATTATATCAATTGCAAGTATTAACTGGAAGTCGATGGAGTATTGCCGATAAAGCGGAGACAAGAGAGACCGTAATTGATAAAGTCTTCAGAGAAACGCCGCCCTCCTTCTTAAAACCCCTTCATTAAACTTTGCCGTAACTTGTCTGCAACTTTCGCAATCTCTTACGCGGAGTAATTAATCTCGCGAAAACGAAGATCGCCCTAGTAGATGCACATGCGATATAGTATCTGCTTAGAAGTTGCAGGAATCTCTTGCAACATTGTGCGCGAAACGTGGAGCCAAAGTATACAGCTTACAATGTTTCACATCGCTCTCGTACACAAAATACTTTTGATCATCGATAATCTGAACTTTCCGGGGAAAAATACACGAGGGAAACTCTATTGAACTTTATAAAATCTACCAAATATTAAGAACAAACTATTATATAAGCCGTTGCAAAACGTTTATGATAAATTTCGCATTAAACTAAACCAACCCAGCCGTGCCGGAGGACCTCTTCTTCATCATTCGCAATGTTAAAGCCGCGTGGAAATAGCAACGGTACGATTGTACGTTCGCTCAATCGCAACGCGGATGTCTCTCTGGAAAACACCTTAATTAATATCCCGCTCAACGGATCTGACCTCGATTAGAGCGGGCGAAAAGGGGAGAGGGGGGGGTGAGGGGGGGACGAGAAGGGGACCAAGCGACGACGAGAGTCGCGCGTCGTTACGCAGCGGAACAATATAACTCTATCGATCCTCTCTCTGACCCGCAGACCGTCGGTGACGTCAACGGCGGGCCTGCAAATGTCGCGGGACTGCGAGCAGCGTTGCCCGGAGTTGGACGCCTGCATAAACGCCTCGCTGTGGTGCGACGGGGTGTCCCATTGTCCCTCCGGCTATGACGAGGCACTGACGCACTGCTCCATGCTGCTGCGGCTGCCGCCGTTGCAGCTGGGCCTCGGCATGCTCGTCGTGGCCACCGTTCTCGGCGTCGTCTTCTTCGTTATCTGGCGGGTGTGCCGCCGGCGCGGTCGCCGCTCGATATCCCAGCACCGTCTAAAGAGCATTTCGTCCGAGACGGCGATAATCGACGGCAAGGAAGTGATATGCTGACACAGCGACAGTTCTGTGCGTTACGTCGAGGTCGACCGAGTCACCACCGTGTGACAATCGCCGTCGTCCACGTCGTCGTCGGTACGAGTTCCGGCGGTCCTCCATAGATCAGCGGCCAGACTCTGCTCGGTCCTGCTCTCCTGAAGAAACCGGGCGCGCCGCTGCCGCTGCCGTCGCCGTCGCTGCCGGAGGATCCGCGGAATCGCCTCCGCGTAACGCGCAGAACTGTCGCGTGCAAGGGATTTGGGGACGTCGGGCGGGAAGAGCCCGGCGTTCGCCTATGATCGGAGAATCGGCGTTCGATGCTCGATGACTCGGGCGAGTGGGAGAACGCTTCTTTTTTCGCCGAAACAAGCGCTCACGTTCCCGTTGTCGGGTTGTTCTGATCGAGAGAAGTGGGTCTCGTTAGATTGGAGAAATAATGAGCGGTGAGTGCGGAACAGTTGAACGGTCTGATTACAGGGGATGTCGAGAATTATAGAGCAGCGCGGCTGAAATGTTCTTAGGATTGTAAGGTCGGTGATGTCTGCATTGAGTACGTCGGACAAGTGGCGCGAGGTAAAGCGTGTAACGGCGGATTTAATTCAGCGACGTGTGATGTACGATACGCTTGCTGTTTGCATTGATCGTGCAAGCTTTTCGTCGATCGATGCGCTACAGCAACCACACATGGTTCTATTTTCAGTGACTTCTAACAATACTGCCAATCCAGTTTTCTCATTTTAGGCTGAATCGTTTTTATAACTTTTTAACTAACAATCTAACGATATTTGAGATTCGACTGACGGCCGACTCTTCGACGCGGCAGATAATCGAATTCTTGTCGAAACCTCGATCCACCTCCGCAAACATCGAAATAAACACTGCCGCGGTAGCCGGTAGGTGACGCAAGTTCTCGAGTTTTGATACTTTCGTTGTCTTCGCGCGCGAGATCTTATTATTCCTCGCGAAGAATAATATCATATTACTTTTCGAAGAACCGTTACACGTCCCGGATTCACGCAAAAGTTTTAACGATTCTCCATCGAACTGCCTGAAAGTCATCTTGAAGCGAAGAGAAGATAAAAAAAAAAGAAGAGAGAGATAGAGAACGAACCGCGTAACGTAAGCCGCAGAATTCAAGTGCGAACTACTTTAACGAGGACAATAAGTAATAAAATCCTAGTAGTATGTCGCTGTTATGATAGAATGGCTTAGTGGCGATCGAACGACGCTGCGCCTTGATCGAGCTTCGACGATTAGCGCAGCTGTAAGAGGAAATAACAGGGGATTACACATCTCGGCGTAATGCCGAGATTGAACGCTGTAATAAGTAAACGATGCGGCGAGCTTAGCAGGTCGATAATACGTTGTTAGCGGATTAGCAAGTTATTAGCGGCCAGTTTCACCAACGTCGGTTGGCCTTAACCGCATTTTAACGGTTTGGTTATCGCCAAGTCTAGCGTAACCGTGGTCAGATTAAAGCTGCAATTAGCGGACGTTGATGAAGCCGGTCCTACGTTGTTTTATTTCATTCACTAATATCATAGCCAGCGGAAAACTATCTTTTAAAACCATATTTTATCCAATTGAACAGATATACAAAGTATTTATATTTGATATCACGCGTCACCGAGCATTATCGAAATGATGTTCGAACGATCGTTAGCGGAGCGAATTTTTGTAGCTACCAATGACGTTGATTTACCAAGGCGCCACGTCGATCCGATTGACACACGCATCTCGATTAAGAAGACACCTCGTTCAGAAATCCGAGACATCGAGCGTCGCGCGCAATGCGCTAGTACTAAACGTTAGTTCTTGAGAATAAGAGTAGACAAGCGATTCCAGGGCCGGGGCGAGCATCCTGCCTCGTCTCGTGCTCCCTTTTTTTTCCTTTAAAAGAAAACGCGCGTGACATGACTCACACGAGATCGTCTGTGTAAAATAGATAAATTCGATCGACGCCGAGTCGTCGCAACGTTATTAGATCAATTAAGACGTCGCTCGAAGAAGATGTTAGATATTTAACGCAATGTGACGTACTATATGGCGGCCGTGGTGAGGCAAGAAGCTTCGAAGTCTCGTTACTACTTCTCATTTACTGCCAAAAAAAATAGTCGATTATACGTCGCCGACGGCGGACAAAAATTTTGAATATTACATACATGTGTTCGGTACTGTTCATAGAGTTCGATCGGTTAATTATAGACCGTTTCATCGCGCTGACGATTGTATTACTTCGTAAGAACGCGGTAAAAGGTATGCACGACAGGCAATTGCGAAGATCTCCTCTACGTATCATGGCCGCAGACCTCTTTCAGACGTCTGCATTGCGCTCGGGCCGTACTTTGGCACGAGTAAGTGCAGTTGCAGCTTGGAAAAATATTTTGCGCGATTGTAAAATCTTCGCTAATTCGATCAGACGAGTATGCGCGGAGAAGCTCCGGAAAAATTCTAAAAAAAAAAAAAAGACGGCATTCCACGCCGTCGATAAAAAGTAAATGTCCCAATAATGCGGTTTTGCAACGAGCTCATGTCGAGGTGCGGCCTCAGCCGACGAGGAAAAATTTCAGCTAGAGATATACTGACCAAGTTTCAAGCGATAGTCGACTCTAGGCGACTTAATTACTCATTTTAGCGATACCGCTTCGGAAGGAGCGAAATAATATGTAGACTTCAGTAGCCTGAAATTATGTGATAATATATAATGCTGTTTTCCTCGGAGCTGTGCTCCGACATTATTGTTACGCCGAGCGAACGGCGTCTATCGGACGCGAGTCGACACTCGAGGGATGCTATTTCCTTTCTCTCGCTACACTTTCAACGCGATGCGTTCGCCACGATGGATGAGAATACGCGTACGCGAAAATTTAGCGAGACGGAGCAAAGCGGATGGCCGAATGTGATTATCTTTCGGTTCACCTTGAGCATGCATGCGAGCACACCGACGTCACCGCCGCGGCTTGTACACCTTGTTCATATACTTGTACATAATCGATTATTTATCTATTTGTATTTGAATAACGATGTTGCATGTGTACTTCCGCTCGCGCGTTTCAGCCACGCATTTTCTCGTTTTTTCAGCTTTTTTCAGGATACTATCGTCGATCTTAATCATAGCAAATTCAGAAGCGACGTGATATAAATAGGCTTCATTTATATTTCACTTTTATCAATTAGTAAAGATAAAATTACGACTATGACTGTCGCTGAGGGAATCGTAACTGTAAGTCGCACGAGAGGCGCTGTTTAAATAACTCCCAAGATCCCAAGATGCCGATATCGAAGACGCAAATGTTATCGAACCTATCATTCGTACTTTATAACCAGTCCGTTATTTTACAATATCACAAGCGATAAAACTTTTGCATTTACAATTTTGTCTGACAGGACTTTTACGTACGATGTGACGTGTATGTTATCTGTATTGATAAAATTTGCACAGATGTATTGCACAAACTTCGAGAAGGCTACTATTTTCTTAACATATGAAACATTTAGCACAAAACTTTCAAAAAATTCTCCAGAAGAAACAAAGAGTTTTCGGTATTCTGGTGATAAATATTTTTAAATAACGCAATCAAAGCAAATAGAATTGATTTCTTCATCTCTCGACATACACATCGATCTGCGAGCGGAAGTTCGCATTTTGTCGCTTTATTACTCGACAAGCGTAGACCTTCGAGAAATCACGATAGCATCGCGTACATTCTCTCTCGAAATACAGGATATACCCGAAACAGAGTGAAAGGACAACGGAAGCTGAAGAAGGATCAATGAAAAGAAATACAGCGTACTGATATCGCGCGCTGTTAACTAGTTAACAATACCACCAATCACTTTCTCATATTTGCGTGCGCACACGCAACAATAATTAACACGCGTATTAACAAAGGATGTGAGACGACGAGAAGTGTAATATTTTTAAGTCATTGGCGAGAAACATTGAATGAAGACAATCGTTAATGTCCCTCATTATGGCTGGATCTAATGTGGACTCGTTGAAGTGAATTTAATTTCATTCTTAGTCTACGATCGTTCAAAGCACGTGCAGTACGTACAAGAGTTTCCGCACTCGTTGACGTTTTGTGGCGAGATAAGGATTTATCGTGCTACGTTCTAAGTGATAATGCTGCGAACTAGTCAGACGATGAGAGAAACAACGCACGCAACACGAACACACGTTCGGTTAACTACATCTTGTGTTCAATCAGGAAGAAGCAATACAAGTTTTCTATCGAAAAGGAGGTCACGGTTTTATTATTCTTCTAATTCTACACCAATTTTTGTACCTTTCAATAACTTTTCGTCGTTTGTAACTATTTAAAGCGATTCAAAGTAATCAGAACAAAGTAAAAAATGTCATTTTGCAAAAAAATCTTATTAAAAAATAAACAAGCAAGAAAGTTATATAAAGTTCAAATAAATATTTTCGACGATTGAAAAAAAAAATTTGCTCGTGTCACGACAGATATGATATTGTGCTGATTGTTTAAAAATTTTTATTTATCTGGGACCAAAAATATTATTGTTTAATTAGCTCTCGACCTGCCAATAACGTAATCGCCTTGCACAACGCAATGCGTGCGAATACATTTAAGCGAAAATATATTTCGAAATTCTAATTAACATGACTGATTTATCGTGAACGGAGAACTAAAGACTGATTATTTACATAATTTACTTCCATCATCAAAACCATTTGCACTGCCATACGTTTAAAGTCTCTTTCGAGAGGCGAAGAACTACAAATTACAAATCAATTATTTTGATGGATTTCTGTAATGAAAGAAATAAGATGCACCCATTAAAAAAATATTTTCTTAGGATGACATAATTTAAATGGTCACAGAAAAACTGTTCGGAAAACTATTGGACTAGAAAGATAAATTTTTCAATCTACAGTCTACTATAATCACTTTTTCGTAATTTAAAGTTATGATTGAACCCGAAAGCAACGATATCGGCTTTAAAGCCATGACCTACATACAGAGCTATCGTCGCTAATGCGTTCCAACCCGCTGGAGAGAAATTTTTCCAAAAATAGGTCGTCGAAGATCTTATTACGTTAATCGTTCCTGACACGAGCAGATTAATTTATGAAATGCTAATAGCATTTAATTAACTGTGCCATGAACAATTGCACGCACAAGCGCGATTTATCATTCATTATCCATTTACAGGATAAAAGGAAATTTTAATTCTCCAAGAGAGAAAATAAAAAGTTGTGAAAAGATAATTGTTCAGCAGAACGCAAGCGGTGACCTCCTTTTAAAAATAACGTAACATTCACTGACATCTGGTAATTGTAAAACTGCTGAATTTTTTTTTTTTTTTTTTTTAACAACGGCGTAAAGCAGAAATCTATTTCGATAATGTATTTCGATTGTTCTGATTTTCTCAGCTGGTTATTAATAAAAGATGTTTATTGTAAAAATCTAGTAACTGTGCCCTGAGCATCTCGTAAAGGTATAAAATTTCCATCAAGCTCTTGATTATGCGCGTATCCTTACGTCGGGCTGCAAGAAATAGCGGGACTACGAGAAGTATGTCATCGCGTACATGGCACTGCCTTCGAAGGCGGCATATCCGGCGGCCGTAAAAGTTTACTATCATGGGGATGCACCGCCTGGCGCATCGTATATTGTCGCCGCGGCTACATTCGTTGCCGCGGTGAATCACGACTTTGACGTTCGCATCGCTATTTATTACACCGGTAAAACAGTAAAGTTTTATTATCGCGGCGCACATAATTGCCATCCGCATCTATGAGCATTCTCATATGTAAGGATTAACGAGCGCACAATCAACGAGACAAAATCGAGGCGAGTCAAGGCATTCCCAATTTTTTTTTTTTTTTTTTTTTCCGCTGAACTACCGCTTTATCCACATTGCAAATTTCGTTTGATATAGCGTTGTTTCGTCGGAAGTTATTAACCCGATGTAAATTCACGTGGTGCTGCTGCTAAACTTTCGAATAGTTAATTTTACAATTTATCCCAACGTATACTTTATTAACGGCTGGCGAGGAGATAAGTTTCGGCGAACCTTTAAAATTTAATAGCCGATCAAAGAATACATAATTACTGATCGAAACTTTGTAAGAAAGGATCAATGTTTAATCCTCGTCACCTACGGCAGAATGAAACTTCGGTCTAAAGATTAAATGAAATTTTAATGTAAGACGAAGTTACGTTTAAGCGAGACACGAAGCCCGAAGTATGTGACACTCAAATGTATAAATCAGCGTATAAAGCAAAGAATGTTGCGAAACACATTCTAGTGACAACACTTTCTAAACACATTATCGTAGAATTAACTAAGCCGTTTAATTTAAACATATTGAAACATAACAAATTTCAACAGGATGCAGAAAATGCTGTAAATAGTGTTCACTATTTTTCGTAACTTGAACTTTACTTTCGCAAAGTGAAAGACTCAGCGATTGGATTGTTGCGTATGAAATATTGAATTCTAAAATAAACATTTATAAAATAAACATCTTTTTTACTAATCAAGTATTACATATCACATCATATCGATATTATTCTTTTATAAAAGTATGCTTCTGTTTTTGCGAAACTGTTCGCGATTTTCCAAATTGAGCTGTAAATTGTTTTTTGAAACGTAGGAAAATTACAAAATTTTTATATTATTTCACTATGTTTAAAATCGCTTTTCGTTCTGTGAAAAATAGAAAAATATTCCATTTTTTAATTACGTATATACTTGTTTCTTTCCTCGAAGATTATCTATAAAATTTATTGATATAAAATCGAAATCTCATACGCTACGACTCAATAATTATCCAGAGCTAGATTCAAAACGAGTATTAAACGTATATAAACGCAGATTTACAAACGCAAACGCAGATAAATTATAAAAATACTATCTCGCGCGCGCGCACGTACTTTACCTTCAAAGGGATAATTATCTGCCGACACGATGGTATACCCTGAAAATACGATTAATCGCCAGTTTAGAGGGATACCGTCACATCGCTTCACGTATGTAAATATCAATCGTTATGCAAATGATCGGCATAGTCGATACGAGACGAATTTTCGATTATATCGGCCAATTCTCTCGGACTCTTGTTTCGATTGTAAATAAGTATAATCGTATGAATTAAAAGCGATTCTAGATCACGATGTAAGCCAATAAAGTAATTACGTAGAGGCGATTTTTAGGCATCACTATTAACAATGTAAAATCATATCCGCGATATTGCGATTAACGAGAGATCAAATTGTCGAATTGTTAAATCTACTGTACGACTAATGGCTGCGAAAGTGCGTGCTTTTGAGACTTTCACGCACTTTTGTTTGCGCTACTCACTCTCGACTTTGATTTACCTGTGACTGTCAACATTTTACAATATCTTATGTCAAGCCGGATAGACAAAGGAGGGAAGAATGTATGTAAAAACAATTAAACTGTCTTGTCTTATTAAGACGAACAAAGATAAAGCAGTATCAACCAAAATGAGCTGTCGTGTTGTGTATATGATACACTTTTGTTGCATAATAGATAGCCAACAGCGACAGTCACGTATTTATCACGAGGTGCATTACCTCCTACATTATCTGCGCGGTTATTATGCAAATGAGCGTTGCAACGACAACGGGGAACTCGTGCAATTGCATGCATATATAAAATTCTACGCTGCCGAAAACGTTGCCGAAGATACGGCACATGTCATTCCAGATGCCTTGGTACTTCACGATAAATTGCGTACGCAATAAATTTCATGAAACAAACGTAACAATCGTTTTGTTTTATCGTTATCTTTTTTTCATGAAAAAAAAAAATGAAAAAACTTATATTAATAAGACAGTAAAGATAGCTCTGAAAAAATTCGGATGCAATTGAGGAAAGGACTCTGCAAATCGATGCGCTTAGATCAAAGACTTAATCAATTTCGCTTTCAAGCAACATTGTGTATTTTCAAAGGAATCTTTATGAATTTTGTAAGTGCTGCATCACGCTGTAAATAGCAGCACAAACTGTGAGTCGCCGATTCCACGATCTTAATTTTCATATCACCTATCGTAATTATGTATCGTTGAAAAGTGTTTTTTGTTTCGATTGTCACCATTAACGTCATCGTTCATATTTCATAATGTACATCAATATCGTAAATAATTTATCGATGTATTTTGCGTTAAATCACCGCTTTTTCGAGCAAAAGCGTTTTGGAGCTTTCGCCAGAGATCACGCCAGCGACTCGATCGTGCTCCAAGCGAGATTGCTCATGAGATTAAATCTGTTCTGCGTACGTCATCGATTGTGTATTGCATTTTACTGCCAATCTGATGATCTTATTTCGTTTCTTTATACTCGACCCAAGAGAATGATAATTATATGCCATACGTAGAAGAATCTAATCGATACGCGCTGATTGGTATTTCGATAATCTTGATTTTCTAAACAGAGAAACGAAGCTTTCTCGCGACAGACACGACCGATTTGGACGAAAACATTTAAATAATATCATAAATGTTTTGGAATGAATCACGTGTTAATATATGATAAATTTGAAAAATCTTTTGAGCAATCTTTCAGAAGCCTGAATGCTTGTTTATCAACTATTTTGAATAAGTATTTAAAAATATTCTTTGGATAAGGTGAAAATGATTTTTGAATTAATTATGTGAAAACGAATGCATATTAAATCATTCTTTTCGGTCGTTACTAGATTATAGTAAGCGCGAGTCAGCAAGAAATCTGACAATAACATAAAGACACAGGCACGCACGCATGCACGCACACAGTCTTATCATGAAAACATCATAACGCACACATCATATTTATTCATAATCGCTCCATTTCGAAGGCAGTGACACGAATCGCGATGTAAAAGAGTCGACGCTTTCAATACTGCAGCGTGACGCTAATATGGAATTCGTTGAAAAGGTGGCGTTAATAATTGTTATTATTATACAATTAGATTGTTAATTAAATGGTTAATTAAAATAATAATAGTGCTATATATAATTTGTAAAATAAAAATGGAAAAATTCAACATTCCAACGAATTCATATTAAAGCAATCTAAAAGAATTGAATTTTAATGAATTTCCATCCATTGTTCGAAATTATCTTCTATTTTTTTCGGACGAGTAATTTGCTTGCGTCAAAATGCAAATGTCAAATCCATTGTGCAATCAGTTGGCAATCATTGTTCGTGCTAAATCAGATCGACGCGAAATGCATCTAGAGAAGGCAGCGACCCGTGCATGAATCATAGATGCGTCATGATTTATTCACGAACAAAGTGGTCGTTTCTCCCGGAAGTGTGAATGCGTCATGTGACGTCATTAGAATCTAGAATCAAACGATTTGCTGACGAAAACGCATTTGCATTTCGCAACAGATGACGAGATGTGTAGAACTACGTTTGAAGTAGGCGAACGTCATCGCGCGATTTCGTGTCATACTGACACTTCGACGTGACTAGCGATGTCACCACACACACCATTAATTATTCTACGATAAAATAAAAACAATAACAATCGATCACCCTACCAGACGTAAATTGATCCTCCGAAAACGTGCTCACGCGACATGCATATAGTTACTAATTGTACCATTACTGATTACCGATTCGAGGTATATCGAATATGCGACATTTTTAATAAATTATTTTGAAGATTGCTCGCCCCTTGTTTTCTTCTCGCAATCCCTGTAAACTTTGTTTACTGATTCTTTTCATTCAAACGTCACAGCGTTACATAACATTACGCAACTTTAAGCTGATACAGTATTGATTTTCCAATATTCTATTCATTCTGAGATTCTTAATTTTAATATCTTTTAGCGGAATATGTTTTTGTAATTAAATTACAAACAATTTGTTTAAAAAATCTTAAAAGATATAAGAAACTTTTATTTTCAAGACTTTTTAACTACTTCATACATATTCGTATGTACACAACATATTCGTATGTATGAAAACTTCGTGTGTTTGCTTATTTTATTAGCTATTGATACAATTTGTTGTTTACTGAAGTCATTAATATCAGTCATGTGTCGGCATCAGTCGTCACTTGCAGCATAAAGCATACAGCTTTAAATAGAATGTTCGATTTCAAAAGATAAGATTATCATTTCCCAACAGCAATACATACGATAATAATATCATAATTCTCAAAAAACAAAGGAGAGACTATGCACATTTTTTGTACAAAAATATTTTAAATTTTTATTAATTTTTAAATTTTAAATAATATTTTTTTCTTTCTAGCAATTTGCAATTTTGCTATCACAATTATTATTATTATATATAGACAGGACTCATAAGACTCAAAAATTCTTTCATATTATATGATACTAAAAAGAAATAAAAATTAATTTTAAATATTTTTTAATTGAATGCAATTAGAGCACGACGTTTTGCGTACGTTTTCACTTAAGGCAATTTATGTATTCGTGCATATTTCTAAAATTTTGAAACAATCTGAATAAAATATAATTTATTTCTTTAATTGATAATATATATACTGTTATTATTAATAATTTTTTATCTTCTTAATAATTATTTTACTCCATGTACGTCAGAAATTGACTATAACAAAAATGTGGAAAATGTGCATAGATTCGTGTAACTAATCGTACATGATAAATAAAGCTGTTATAAATATATTTATATAAATAAATTATAATAAAATTAAAAAAATCTATTTTACCATATTTAGATATAAGATTAGATATAAGATATAAGATTAGATATAAGAAAACCAAAAATATAAATAAATAAAATACAAACAACAAATAATAACAAACACAAGGTATCAATTCTGTATTTGCACAATCCGACACCTGATTGACTACCAATGTTACGATTGTGTTTTTCTCAGGATTTTGATGACGTCTAAGAGAGACGGCGGATGCTGAAAGATCTGCATTTTCTTTCCACCAACTACAGACTGTCCTTGCCACTACTCCTACCATACTACGAATCGGCGCCTGCACATATTGTTGCGACGTATCTTCGTGGCATCAGTAAGCGGCGTTTTCCTACCCGAACGACACGTCACACGTAGAAACTTGTAATTTCGTACGTAACGGAATTCGGCAAACAAGGTGAGAATTGAGAAACAAGGTAAGAATTGAGAAACAAGAGCTGATAACGTTGGATTATAAGACTTAGTGCAGCACATACTTTGTCCCAGTTTGTCAGTGTTTCGTAACGAGAATAAAATATCTCCGCGTGTCCGGTGGGCGTCACCAATCATTCGTTTCAATTTTCTCTTCAAGGTAGATCTATCGACATGCGACAGACACGTGCCAATTTATGAATAAATATTTATAGAAGATCTTGATATATTATGATAATTCTATTGCTAGATTCCAGCAATAATTTAATATAGATTTATATCCTGCAACATTTATCAATCATCTCGTGGTAAATTGCGTGTCATGCTGCTATTAGTGATGCATTCAAGTTGCCATATAATATGTTTTATAATGTAACAGAGATGAAGAAAGAGTAAGTTTGTAATTTTGTATTTTTCTGTATGTAGGTTCTTTTAACCCAGCAGTTTTTCTAACTCAGCAAGCAAAATGAGCTACGGCTATCAAGTGAGTACATTTAAGTTTTTAAATAATTAAAAAGTTTGTTTTTGATATAGTTATTAGTTTCACACAAAAAAAAAAATTATAAAACGCTACAGTAAGCATGAATTTAATGTAGTTTAGAAATTCTTTGTTTAAAAAAATATATATATAAAGCTTATGCATGGCATTTTGGTATCTTGTTTTCTTTTCATCTTTAATTTTTGTTTAACTTTTCCTTAATATATCAAAGGGGCCACCTGTTCAACTCCCAGGACAAGGAAAACCACCAACATCGTTTGGGGTTCCACCTGGTGCACCCTCTGCCCCTGGTGCCTCATTTTATCCTTCGGGCCCTCAGATGGGTTTTTCAAATGCACCACCAACATCCTTCGGCATGCCTCAACCATACTCTCAGGCTCCTTATCCAACTCAACCTCCTATCCACCATCAGCATCCTACTCCTAGCAATCCACCAACTCATACTTATCCTCCACAACCGATGCCACATCCTTCTCAATCTATGCCCACACCATCTATGCCACGTCCATTCTCTGATCAACCTGCACCATCTTCCTACCCGCAGCAGCAAAATTATAATCCCTACCCACAGCAGCAAAATTATAATCCCTACCCACAGCAGCAAAATTATAATACCCACCCACAGCAGCAAAATTATAATACGTACCCTGATCTTCAGAAAGCACCGGATGCTAAAGAATGTTTTAGCAATATAACTCCTTCCCCTTATCCCTCTCAACCAAATGCATACACAGCTATTTCAAATCCATATCAAGGTGGAAACCATCCTGGGGGGCAGAGGGTAAGCCCGATGTATCCTTACACTGCTAATCCACCTACTGCTGCTCAGCGTGGTGTTACCTCAGCCCCCCAAAGAGATCGGTTTACACCTAAGGTGAGATTAAGAATTGTTTAAGGCTTTTGAGAAAATTTGTAAGCAAGATGGTACGCATGTTTTGTGAAGTAGCAACAATCTTGTAGAAAAACATCTCAGATCCTATGTTATTTTATATGTGCAAATATCTTGAGAATTTATGAATTTGTTTACAGACTTCCCCTACTGTTGTGCCTTACGATGCTTTTGATGCTAGAGCGGATGCTGAAGCTTTAAGAAAAGCTATGAAAGGATTTGGCACCGATGAGAAAACTATTATTCAAGTTCTTGCCAATCGCAGTAATCTGCAGCGCCAGGAAATTTCATCCCAATTTAAGACTCTTTATGGAAAGGTAAAAATAGAAGATTTAAAAATTACCCTGCGAAATTTGAGCGTAATATATTATTGTTGCATCTTTATTAATAGGATCTGATAAAGGACTTAAAATCTGAGCTATCAGGAAACTTTGAGAAACTCGTTCTTGCCTTGATGACACCACTACCTCAATTTTATGCTAAGGAGCTTCACGATGCAATGTCTGGTATTGGCACTGATGAAAATGTACTCATCGAAGTGCTGTGCACTATGTCCAATCACGAAATTTCAATCATTAAACAAGCGTACGAAGCAAGTGAGTGAGCTAAATATCAAGATTATAATATATAATATACTATTTAATAGAGTTACTAAACTATTTAATATATATATAATTACAGTGTACGGAAGAACATTAGAGGATGATCTAATTGCTGACACGTCTGGCACTTTCAAACGTTTGTTGGTATCATTGTGCTGTGCCAATAGAGATGAATCATTTAATGTGAATCAAGCCGCTGCGATGGAAGAAGCTAGGCAACTTTTGCAAGCTGGTACTTAATGCAAGATATTTTAAAATTTTTTATTCTATTCAGATTTTTCTTCTTAATATCTTATAAATATTAATACTACAGGGGAACTTCGTTTTGGTACGGATGAATCTACCTTTAACGCGATTCTCGTCCAGAGAAACATGGCACAATTGCGACAGATATTCGTGGAATATCACAACATAACAGGCCATGATATTGAGAATGCAATTGAAAATGAGTTTTCGGGCGATATCAAGAAAGGTCTCCTTGCGATTGGTAAGTATATGTCATGTAGATTATAAATTTAAAAAAAATAATGAATTACTCATTAAAATATTGTTTAAATAGTGAAGTGTGTCAAGAACAGAGCCGATTTCTTTGCCGAACAATTGTACAAAAGCATGAAAGGCCTTGGTACGAATGACAGCCGTCTTATTCGATTGATTGTGACACGTTGTGAAGTGGACATGGGTGAAATAAAGAGTGCGTTTCTCAAGCAGTATGGAGAGTCATTGGAAGATTACATATCCGTAAGTTGATCAATATTAAGAATATTGCACATTGATAAATTTAGAATGCAATTTGATTTTTTTTCTTGTTTCAGGGTGACTGCTCAGGACACTACAAAAAATGCTTATTGGCACTAATATCCTAAAATATTTTCTAACGATAATATGTGAAATTGTTTCATTGCATTTATGGTCCATGTTTTTTTCTTTATCATCTTTTTATCAAACATATACAATGTATGCACATCAATATCCAATCACCTTTTCTTTTAGTTTTTTGACAGTTGCACTATTGACAATAATATGTAAGTTAATTGTTTTTTATAGTCTTAGTTAAAGATACTTTTATGCTACAAAGTTTGAAATGCTTTTTTGATTAATCACATACACAGGCACTTGTAAAATCACATCACATACTTTAATTTTATAAGAAAGTCATAAATGTACTTTCAAACTTTTATTACACTTGTTGACATAATATTTTTATTATAATACAACTATATATAAACACAACAATTCTACAGAATTAATGATGATTTTATAAAAATTCTAATTTTCACTGTAATATATACAGTTATACTAGTTAAGTTTGATTTACATTGATCAAACGTTTCTATGTACCATAAATGCTTTTATATGAAACCATCTATAGCAAGCATCTTTTTAATGTGCTTTACAATGTGTTTTACAATGAATCTCAAAAATCTGTCAATCTCCCGACATTATAATAAATGTGGAAATATATTTTTTACATTTAAAAGTATTTTATAAAATGAGATGATATTTTCTTTCACTGTTTAGTGAAGAAATACCTATATTTTGATATATGTACTTCTTTATCCATTCAATTATTGTATCTACATTTACTGTGCTTCCATAAATAAAAATTTTAACTTGTATAAAAAAAGTATAGCTCTATGAAATATTGTAAAAACCCTACAGTTCTAAAATTTTAACGTAAATATTTATAACAAATATTTCATAAGATATTTTCTATCATTTATCTTTCATGATATTTATCTTCAAACAACATAATCGCAGAACAGCTTGAATGTAATTGCGCGATTTAAATTGCGCGGCAATATTGACAAGCGAAATTGCGATTCTCGAAATGTTGGAGTAGTTGAAGCATACAACTTCACGGTTAAAATATTTAAGAAATTGTCGAAATAATTAACCAGAAAAAATCAATGCTACTAATTATAAAATAATGACATTCATGTACATACCTGATGATCGTGTATGATGCTTTTGATGCGCTTTAGCAGGAAGATAATACGTGAAATATGCGATGAGAATCTCGCACTGAGCAGGACACACAATAGTGAATCACTGATACCAAAATTGATGTATAACAGAGAATTGCACACAACTTTTACGTTTTAACAAACACTCCCGATAATACTTTATAAGAAACTTTTTTAAATAATAATTTCTGATCCACAAAACTTACTTTTAAACAGTAACAATCGTGAGAAACGCGGAGTAGATTGAATACGTTCCGTCATTCGCGGCAATTCGCGGCGATGATTGAGATTCAAATATTATCTAGAGATGCGACAATACGATATGTTGAGTTTGTTCGTTTAGTCCAAAAGTCATCAAGCTATTGGTTGTGATTGAAAATTGGAAAAGTAGACTAAAGTCCTTTGCGTACTGTGATATGAGCTTTAGAGAACATAATATTTTTTCTCACTAATTTGAACTTCTGGTCAAAACAAATGTATGACGTACTTTATTGCAGATTATAAAATATGATACGGATAAATAATTGGACACCGTTCAACGCGTATCCCACGCGTAGTCCTATTGCACTTCTAAATTTATCAATAATCCAAATTTATCGCGCTCGCGATAAATGTTCAAGCAAAATGTCTTTGTCAATTATTTCGCAAACTCACTCTGAAATTAATAAATCATCATAAATCATTTGAAAATCTGGCTAGACTCAGTAGCATTCAGTAGATAAACATATCAGTCTCGTGATAATGTAGAACTCTGATAAGCGAAGTTAAATTATAAAATCGAGCAAGTAGCAGCATTGTCATAGGAACCAGTGTTGAGATATATCGCAACGCTGATAGGAACCGTATTGCATTTTTAAAATGGGGGCTGATCCCAAGTGCACGATTTTAGTAACCGGTTTTGGCCCGTTTAAACAACATGTGGTAAATGCCAGTTGGGAAGCGGTGAAGGAATTGCAGAAATTGTGGGCAGACTCCAAAGATGTTTTTAATATTAAATTGATCATAGAAGAAATTCCAGTCTCATATAGTGACGTGTCCACTCACGTTCCTCAACTCTGGAAGAAACACAACCCTACAGTAAATACTATACATACAATTGGAATTATGCAATTTAACAGTATGATTCTTGTTAAAACAATTTCTTTGTTTTAGATTGTCCTACATGTGGGTGTGTCACACAAAGCTGAATCTTTAACAATAGAGTGTCATGCTCATAGCAATGGCTACAAGAGGCTTGACGTATGTGAAAAATGTCCTGATGAAACACATATTGAGTTGAATGTCTTGAAAACCAGAATAGATATCAAAGAACTGTGTAATAATGTGAATAAGAATTCTGAAAAAAGTGGATGTAAAGCTTGTTTGTCTAACGATGCTGGTAGATACTTGTGTGAATATATATTTTATCAATCTCTTTCTATTGATCCGACAAAAACTTTATTTGTACATGTCCCGGATTTTAATAAGTACTCCAGTATACAAACTGCCAAAGGCTTATATGATATTTTATGTTATTTAATAAAAAGTTCAAAATGTAGCTAATTGTTTCTAAACTTTAGTTTCTATGAATTATATTTTAGACTAATAAGCTATCAGTGATTAATATTATAGGAAAAAATATTAGAATTTTATAAAACCCATGTATTTAAGATTTAATACTTTGTTATATTTTAAAAATTTTATTTGAAAATAAAAAATTGATTTAAAAATAAAATTTAAATATGTAATGTAAATAATGTAATAATATAACATTATTAAGAATATAGTTTAAAATTAAAACAAATTTTATTTTTACTGTGTAAGTGTCCAATATTTTATATAAATATTAATATAATTCTAATTAGTTTGTATTGCAAACTACGATCCAGGTTGAAATTTCGTCCGTGCAGGTGGAATATTGTATCTGAGTTCCAGAAATTCTGGTTTTCTGATCATTGATGCAACATGTCCCATTTGGATCGTGCAGTCAGGATTTAAATTCGGTGGTAGCAATGTACATTCTCTCTCCAAGATACATGCTAATCCTTCTAATAACTCAATAAATCCTATTGATGCTGCTGCACGCCGTAATCTATTTACCTCCTATAAAATCATAAAAGATAATCATGTTAGAATCATTATTCAAATGCCGTATTTTTTATACTTTTCTGATTTACCTTATAAAAGTTTTGCGTTTTTTCAGGCAATTTTCTTGCATGTCTTAATATTTTTTGAATATCAGATTGCAAGCCAACTTGGCGAATCCATGAGGGAGCATTTTGGGTATAACTTCTTTTTTCAGTTGGTCTAACTGGAAAGCTGACTGGAGAACCTTTCACCACATCCAATGGACCTAAGTTATTGAAATTGCCTAACCATGGCACAACATCAGATCCCGGTTCTAATACCGTTAACATTAAATTGGATTTTTTTTTAGTATCTGCCCAAGAATATATGAATCCATACCATTCATTGTTCAATAAACAAAGCGCTGCCATATTTTCCACCTAAAAAATATATTAACTATTAGTTAAGTTGCATTAAAAAGATAATTAAGAGATCTCTAAAAACATTACCTTTAATGCTCCGTGAAGTAACACACAAAAAGACGGCAGTCTTCCTTCATCTCCATTTTCATCAGTATCTGAATCTTCTTCTAATGATATACCTTGCATACTTGAGGTCTTCTCTGTTGCCAATGGTAATACCAAATGTCTAGAAATAGAACTTGGACTACCCACATCTCCCACAGATATAAATCCACATATTTCTATAGTTTTTGATATCACCAAACCTGGGACTAATTCAAAATCTGTCTTTTTTGTATAAGGCTGAAACAAAGCAATATCTACATAAATTGTTCACAATAATCTATAGCATATTCTTGTGGTTTTTTATTACCATAGGAGGTGGAGATAGTGAAATACGGGAACCTAAATGGCCACATTTCAAATATCCTTGGAAAGATACATAATTTGTTTCAGCTAGTTTCTGGAAGCAAGCCGCAACAGAATATTTATTTAGTGGTGAGTCTGGAACTAATACAGCACTGTCACTTCCAGCTAGATCAGCTAAACGTTGATAAAGAGGTAAACCAATTTGCAAACTAGGATCTGAAAACATAACATGAGTAAGTAATATATATTAAGAGATGCAATAAAAAATAAATATGATAGTTTTATATGTTTGGCTTACCTTGTTGTGATCCAACGCAAACTATACTTAATTTTCCAGGGTATGGAAAAGGTAGCGGAAAGGGGTTTGTATCTTGCGTGACATTTAAAGAATTTAAAGAATTTAAAAAATTACTTAAGGACGTTGATCCTACACCAGGATTACCGTCTGTAATTAATATCACTTGGCAAGCTGTAACATTACCCCATTCTGCCATAATTACATTATTAACACCATGCAATGCACTTTGGATACATGTCTTGTCCCATTCATCGATAGTTTGTAACTTTGCACGTATGCTGTCATAATCCCGTGTGAAAGGACAAACCACTTCGTACAATGATGAAAATACAATCTGAAATATGTAACATTTACCTGTATTAATATATCAATTGCATGAATACCATCATAATATCATGCTAGCTCTTATTCTTACCAGCGACACAAATTCCAATTTTGAATTAGCTTGCAAATAATGTAACAGAGCGTTTATACCATGCACTGCTAAATGGTGTCGCGTTAATGGTTCATTTTGTAAATTATCATTTGGTCCACTTGTTAATACCGGTCTCCGCATTGACAAAGAAACATCTAATGCTATAACTGTAGGCATTTTTATGTTTAAGTAAAACTTCAATGAGAAACAGTAGAGAAATACTCGAAGATCTTATAATATATTAACAAAATTATAGCATATAATATTTAAATCTACATTTTCATAAATTTTTTTGTTGTGTTTTACAAACATATAGGTTATACCAAGTTATACATAAACATAAAGCCCGATCGCGTCTGCCAATAGAAGATTAGTTTTCATACTCTCCTGTAGGTGAATACGATCAAGTGTCTTCAGGTAGAGTCCTTAAACGCGATTAGGCGTCCTCCAATTTTAACAGTAGCCAAAAAACGCCTAATCGCGTCTTCGAAAAAAAATTGAATAACTTGATTAGGCATTCTCTAGCCGTTGAAATTTGTTAAAATTGAGCAAGTAGTACAAGTTAACGATTACCAGATGTTTTAACAAGCTGTCAAGTTGTATCCACTCTTAAAAAATTTCGTCTAAATTACCAAATATATGATAAAGAGAACTAAATCATTTCGTCCTAATTACCAAATATTTAGTAATGGAAACAAAATAACTTCGTCCCAATTACCAAATATTTGGTAACGAGGGCGAAGTGATTTTGTAATTATTACCAAATATTTGGTAATGAGGGCGAAGTGATTTTGTAATTATTACCAAATATTTGGTAATGAGGGCGAAGTGATTTTGTAATTATTACCAAATATTTGGTAATAAAAAACGAAATGATTTAGCTCCCATTACCAAATATTTGGTAATGAAAAACGAAATGATTTAGCTCCCATTACCAAATATTTGGTAATTAGAAAAAATATACAAGTTAAAAATATCTAAATAATTTTGCAAAGAAATTTATAATTAGCGTCCTAATTTTTTACATATTTTTAAATTCTTTTTTTATTTGAATACAACTTGACAGTTTGAGGAAATGTAAACAATTGTCATAGAAACATTTATATATTGCTAATCAATATTGCCTTGACAACCATTTAAATATAAACTGCCAAAATATATTTTTTGCACATAATCAATATTGCCTTGACAACCATTTAAATATGAACTGTCAAAATATACTTTTGCACATGACAACATTGTGATAACCAATCAGCGTCGCGATAAAGCTGCATCAATACACTTCGATACTTTCGAGATTTCGATACATTCGAGTATCGATCTTTCATGCCTTTTTTAAGAGTGGATACATATATGTTATCAAACTTTACACATTTAATATAGATATTTGATATATTATAATTATTTCTTACAAAATATAATTTCTACAGAACTTTAGAATCTTATATAAATTATTCACACCTTTTCAAATCTTGTATTATATTATGGTAACAATATCAAATCTATTTAAATATATTGAAAAATTATTACAGCAACTGACAAACTTCATTTTTATAAAAGTGGATTATTCATATTTATTTATATATATATATATACATATATCACATTGATTTATATATAGTTTAAAATAAAATGGACAAATGTAACATTTTTATATCTTATAAATACCACAATTATAATAAAAGAGTAAATTTCAATTAATTATATTATAAATATATATATATATATATGAACAATCTAAATATATAAAGAACCATCAGCAGGGCCTAAATATCTCATAGAAATCAATATAACGTCGATTAAGGTCCATACACCTAGTCCTCCAAAACTGAACAGCTTGCCAATGCCTTCTTGCCAGTGTCCCAAATAAAATCTGCATTTCAATGAACATTTTATAAAATTTATAATTGATTTCATTTATATTTCAGATAGTACTCGCAAGATTGATGTACCTGTCTGCACCAAATCCTCCAAGAGTAATACTCAAGATCAAAGCCGTAGACCATCGATATCCAACTGTCCAATTACATGGTAAATTTTTCATAAATTTTCGTCTACCCAGACACAGTATGTCATTATTTACTGTACAATTTGTTCTATAACAAGAAAAATTTTTGTCAGGACTTGTGCAACAAATATTGATGAAATTAATACAAACCTGTAATATTGTTGCGGAGATGCTACAGAGCTACAAGAATTTTTCTGATGGCACTGATGTTCCCAGTGATCAGTTTGATAACAATAACGGCACATATACTTCTTTGAGAAAACCTGATCTCCCTATCAAGAAGCAAAGCATTTAATTATAATTTGACAAATTGATTATACCTTATATTAAAAAATTATAAGAATGTTTAAGTTTTACTTACTACGCAATCAACATGTTCGATCACAGAACAATTAGCAACATATACAGCACCATATATACAAGTATAATTTAAATTGCATTTCAGACAATCCCCAGGTAAATCTGTGCAAGATATTCCACTTGGGCATAGATTAGCTATTTCTTCCTGCAATTAACAATCAATTATTATTTGTATCACTAGGCAAAATTATTACTTGTGTTTAAAAAAAAATCTTACCTTTTTACTGCTATAAGCTGATGTGGAATTTATATTAGCTTCTTTCAGAGCATAACTAGTCAAGCTATCTGCAAAATTATCATACTAATTGACAAAACATATATACATATAAAACAAGTATTACACTTTAATATTTCTATAGTAATATTCAATGTATCTCATAATAATGTTGACATTAATATTATATTTTGTAGAAATTTTAGAATGACTTAATTGATTCTACGTACTAATCGTTAAATTAACATACTAATTCATTAAAATTAAACTTACCACCATAACTCATACGAGCTTCCCGAACAGAGGTTGACAAAAGTGCTAGAAAAAGAAATATCACATTTCTCGAATTAATTCGCACGACATTCATCCTGTGCAAAGATCACTAGTCGTCGAATACTCCAATCGATGAAAAAGTCGCTATTCCAGCTCCCAAATTTACTTGCACATATAAAATCAAGAAATCTGACAAATATATATGCAAAAGTATTTTACAAAATAATTAACTGTGCTTTTAAAAGATGGCTATTATACAAATAATGAAAAATTGCTTAGTAATAGGAAGATCATAACAAGATTGTTGAGTGACAGTTGCTTGAATTTGAAAAACGCATGCTAAAAAAATTTAGAAATCCCTCTCCTTTCCTTCTAAAAGCGTTAAACTGTCAGCCACAATTTTGAGTCATAATATACGAATGTCTAGATACGAAAGTGCATTATATGCTGCTTGCTTCTTCCGTCTCAAGTCTGGCCACATTGATAATACGCAATAAAAAGCGATGCGATAGCCAATCGCATTCTCTTATAAAGCTATTATTTTCATAAAAGTAGAATGGTGATTGGTCAGCGCATGAAGCATGTATTAACATATTAGTATACGTTCTATCACAGTGTTTTATGTTCAAGGGACATACACTCTATCCGGAAATGCTCAAACCAGAACTTGAAAACATTACTGATAGCGAGTGTACTGAGGAATGCATGAGTATCATACAAACACTGGCCCGGTAGAATCGACATCGAACGTTTTTAGACTTTCGACATAATCTGCGACAAAATATTAACATTGCGAGCGATTGCATGCAGAACAGTTACATTATGAAATAGAATAAGAAAGTAAACAGTAAGAAACAAATAGTAAAAGTAGTAAAAAAAACGAGTGATAGTAAAGTTTCGCGTGTACGCTCGTTTCCGACAATCAGCTGACTTCCGGTACTAATATGAGACGTTAGGATGTTAGTAAGGTGTTTCGATAGTTTTGCTCGACATAGAGACGTGTCTTTCACGAAACGAAATACGAGGCATATCTCCCTTTTACGAGGCTAGCGCGAATGGTGCGTTTTTTTCTCTGCCTAGTTCCGGCCGGAACAAAGTGATGTAAATATCTGCCTAACCACGCAGAGGATCACCGAAACACATTTTTCAAAGCTCAGTGACTTTGGCTCGTGAAACGCTGTCGAGTTCCCTATGCTACTATCCCCGTTATCCGAATTTTAGCGGATAATTTTGTATTGTGCCTCATGGTAAGCGCGATTGCACGACAAATCGTCGATTTTCTTCATTCTCTTTATTAGAAAAAGAAAAATATTATTAAATATCTTTGTAGGATGTGTAACGTTATCGCTGTTAGTCTCATTGTCGAAGACAGTATGAATTCGAAAGAGAACGGTGGGAATAATCAGAGTAAAACGGAGGTTAAAGTGGACATTGGCTTGAAAAATGATAATCAATCCATGGATCAGAGTCCACCTATCACGGTCAAAGCGGTGCAGCTGGAAAACAGAACTGCCACGGAAGAATTGAGATTGAACAATAACAGCAGCGAGAATAACATTAAGCTTGTGTCACCTTCCAAGACCTCTGCTGTATTTTCCAATGGAACAAAATCTGTTCAAGCTACCATGCCTGATAGTGCCAACTCATTAGAACAGACTGTTTCTCAAGATGTGTCGAATGTGAACATATCTTCCGTGTTTACGAGTACCGCCAATATCAAGCCTCAGACTGCAAACACCAATGCTATGTGTCAATTGAAGCATAAGACTGTCATGAATACAAGCACACTGAATTTGCCTAAGTCCCAAATGCACTTGAATTTATCTTCCACTCAAACAAATACGCATGTCAATCATGATTTAGCATCAGTTGTTCTTAATTCTACAGCAACGACTAGTGCTATATTACATTCAAGTATATCTACATTAAATACATCATTAATGTCTCCTAATTTAGCAACAATTAAATCAAACGATGACATAGACATGAAGAACAATGTGGATTACTTATCTGCCATAGAGAAATGCCCTTCTAAGGTTTCTTGCAGTTCAGATTCTAGTCCAGAGGCTGATTGTTCCTGGACACCAAAGTCCTATGGATCTAAACGTGTACTGAATAATATAAGTGGTAGTATAGGTTCAACGAGTCAAGGTACTTGTTGTTTTTTAAGACCTAACATCAATGGCAGCAGAGAATTGGCTGGACCTAGTGGGCTGCAGAGAGTAAGTTTTTGAATCGTGTAATCGAGTATTTGTGTTTTGTGCTCAGGATTAAAATTTTTTCTTCTTTTTAGACTTCACAAAGGGAACAGGTAGAACGGATGGATTCTAGTTCCGGAAATGAAGGGGACATGTCTGATGGAGAAGACTATTGTATCTATACTTACAAAGGTAACGATGATGCGATTCATTTAAATCAACAACAAGAATTAAATCAGGGCCATGCAGAGAATCATGAGGCAGAAGGACAGAATCACAGTGGTAGATCAAGTCCAGAAATGGATTTCCTGGAAATGGACTTTGATCCTGGACCTTCTTGCGAACAGGTAAGATATTTTTCATTTTCTACTTCACACTGATTGAAATTTGCATTTAATCAAATGTTTGTTTCATTATTAGATCAAATAAAATTGCGAAAAATTCGATTTCTCTTTCACAGGATACTGGAGATAGTGATTTAGCCTCTATAAATGAAGATATACAGAATATAGCATTAGATAATGTAGAACCAGACCCGGTATTGAATGATCTGAGTAGCGGAAAAGTCGTATCTAGGCAGGGATTAGTGACTACTCCACAGACTTCGAAACAAAGTACACAGAATGTTAACCATACGACTTTCCAACAATGCACAAATAATCAACCCGCTATAGAACAAAGTGTGAAATCAACTTACTCTGCACCGTGGATGCCTAGTACTAGTTCTGGAACTGGTATAGTCTTGCGGCTACATTTTACTCAGCAATGCAAATTACACATAATTGTATTATAATATAAGAAATGTTCCATGTTGTGTGAAACTTACAGGGAGATGGGACAGCGCGACGCTGTATCGTAATACAGGTTGTCCATTACGCGAATCTTATGGCTATCATAATACGAGTGGCGATCTTATCTCACCCGGTGATAATAGAGATTCGGATTCAGAGTTATGGGCCGAACCGTCGACAGCTTCCGTTCCGGATAATTCCAACTTGAACGCTAGGAGAGTTAATCTCAGTTCTACACTTTATCATCGGATGATGGCAAAGAAATTGATGCTCAATAAGCAAGCTGCGTTTAATCAAAGTGGTGATTCCAATCTGGTTAGTGCTCTGTACAAATTAATAGATTTCAAGATTAAACAAAGCACGTCACTAAATTTTTAATAATATTTACATCTAGGAAAATGAATTATGTAACGAACGATTAGACGGACTACCACCAGTTGAGAAGGTAATGTTGTGGAGCGAGCAAGAAGCTACAATGAAACAAGTAACACAAATTGGTACATCTGCCTGTGGCGCTACATCCGCGATAAATGCATTGGTAATATAAAAATATATTAGTGTATCAACATTAACAAATTGTAGAGCATATAAATTTCAATGATTCAATTACGTTTATTCACGCACATTCATCTATTTTTTAGCTGGCCTTAAATATATCATTTTCTCTGGAAGTGTTAGTAAAAGGTGTAAATACAAGATTGAGAGAATTAGGTGTGTCGTTACCGAGATATCTTGTCAGTCGATCGTTAGCAGGAGCGACTCATAAAGATATAGCGCGAGGAATATCTTTGTCCACAAATGGTGCAGCTGTAACAAAATTCTTTGCATTTTATCCGGAGAGGAAAGTGTCATTATCTCATTGGTTGCATTATTGGATTTCTAAAGGTAAGAAATTAAAAAAAATAATACGTTATTCAATGGAAATATAATACATAATAAAAGATACATGTATGAAATATTTTGATCCACATTTTAGGCGCTGCACCAATCGCAACCTTGAATTTACAACATTGCGGAGAGGGTTGCGATATACCAGATGCGTGGCATCATCAGATGATATTCGGTGTAGGACAAGCTGGCATATACTTAACAAATCCCTTGGAATGTTTGCCTGAACAGGTTTGTATGATCAATACAAGTTAAGTAAATTTAAATTCCTTTAAAGAGAAATCCAGGAAATTAAGTCATTAAATATTCATTAAGTAAATTTCTCATGCTTCAGTTATTACTGTTGCGGCATTGGTTTGAGTGGAATTTTATTCTTGTGACATTGTTTTAGCTTGTATGGCATCAATTAATTAGTCCCAGTATTCTCTTAATACGAAAAACGGACGTTCTAGCGCATTGGAATGCAAATACAGATCTAACGCCGCTTGCAACAATGGATCAGAAATGGCGGAAGCTTAATGTTCTTGGTACGTTTTACATATTTTTCTTCATGCATTATCGGTCTCTAGTTGTAATAATGATCTTAATAAAACTTGTATCAAACAGGACAAGTTGTAAATATGGTACGTGAAGAAATGAGCCAAAGGCAACAATCTACCGGAACGACTCACATTCGCATCCCGGCATCTTATCAAGCAGGCATTACGTTGGTTATGTGTGCAGATTCCGCTGCAGCCACCGAATTGTTACACGCAGAGCAACTACCATTACTCTAGTCTTATTGATCAAACTCAATAAATATTGGACTAGCCCATTTGATTCACAATAAATTTTATTAGCAGGCTAGTCCACACAATGCTCTTAATCATTTAATTTCATTTACTATGTAAGTCAACAGGAATGTGGAAATAATTTACATTTTTGACACAAGACGCGTTTGTATTCAAAGAGAATATTATAGATTGAAATATATTTCGGTAGAATATTTCTGTTTATACAGTTATATTCATTGATTATGCTAGAAAGAGAAAATCTTCATATAAGATTGTAGTTGAGATGTAGGTTTACATTGGTATAAAGAGTTTCATTATACATATTATTTCTAGAAGAGTGTAAGCTGTATCAGTAATTTGATTTCTCATTTGCTTTTACTTTTCTTCATTTTATTTATTTTTCTTAAAAATTTACCATGTACAGCTACTAATAACTGCAAGCTTATTTCGTAACAATATTTTGATGATATAATGTATTATATAACAAAAACAAAAAAAAAATTATATTTCGTATGTATAAATTTTAATTTTTAAAACATATTACATTTATTATTTTCTATGTCAATCGCAAAGAAGTGCTAATTTTAGATATGTTGATAAAAGAATAATGTGCGGATGTGTAAAGCCATAAATATCAAGTTTTATATACATGTTTAAACACAATCCAGTGTACAGTCCAGTATGATTACTCCATTTTTCTTTTTTTCTTTTTTTTTATATATATAGAGAAGTCGGATATTTATAAGTCGGACATACTAGAATAAAAAGTTTTTGTTATATAAAAAATTAATGATGTAATACATTACTTATGTTTTTTTTAGTCTTACCTTTCTATAAAAGGGGCGCGCATACTTGATGTGATAGGAGTTGGATTAGCTTCGTTAAGTTTAAAAACGCTCTCAATACGAGCGATTTCCGTTGAAGTTGTGTCCATGCCGCAAAAAGCTGCCCAATCATTTACAACCATACCAGCAGCAATCACATTACTACCTCTATTTACTGTTCCAGTCTAAAAATTTTTCAATTAAAAATGAAGAAAAATGGGATGGTTCGTCCACATTTGTCTTACCGCGAGTGGAACTTGTAAAAGAGATGATAATTCATCCTGCTCTTGTATGGACATGTTGGGATGAACCAATCCACCTTGATTAGATAAAATGGAATATGAGCCTACCAACACATTGCTTGCAACAGTTTGCCTAAATACTTCCACATTCAGCGTATCGGCTAAAATCTCTTCGGTTTCCTATGGTTAAAATTGTAACGTTTGAGTTATGTAAAATGTAAAGTTTGAATTAGTATACTTTAGTTATGAACTTTTCAATTCAATATTAATGAGAGATTATAGAAGACTAACCTTATCAAGATCTGGATGAACTAAAGCAACATAATCATTGCACGTTATAACATTACCAAGAGCAGAGAGTCTTTCCTCTACCCTTTGTACTTTTACGTTATCTGGCAAGGAGTTTCGAATATGTTGCAATTCGGTATCTGTTGTTGTGTTTGGTACTAATAATCCATTTTTGTTTCCTGCATATGTATATAATTATATGTAACATAAGTATTACACATAAGTGATTATTACATCTCTAGCTATATATAGATGTAGAAGATTAGAAATTTGAAAAAAAAATGTAACATTGAGTTTTCTCACAGTGTAAGAAGAAACAAGTACAGATTATAGATATCAAATTTTACTATGTTTGCTAAAAAAATTTTTCTCAATAAAAATATAATTTTGAATAAAAAAGTTATAGCATATTAGGCTATATAAAAAAAACTTTAAAAATTTCTTAAAATATGTATGTGTATATTATCTAATTTTCTCTCAATCTATTTATATGATAAATTATAATGTAATGTCCTTTATTTAATATTTAGATGCTTGAATATATATTATTTGATCTATTTAATAGCATCAATATTGATGTTTTGATAAAGATCAGATATACTTGCCAACACATAATCGACCTATGATGCGACATCCTGCTACAGAAGCATGAATAACAGGAATTGTTTCCGCTAATTCTGCTTCAAATACACTGTAATTATATCAGCAATGATAAAATTAAACATAATGAAAATATAATGTTTATAATTATATTTTATCCTGCTTAATTTTGCTCAATTATTTTATATATATATATAATTTTATATATTTATATAAATATATTTAATTACGCAAAATTAAGCAGGGTAAAATATAATTATAAAAAATATATATATAATAACATCCTACTTTTGTATCTATTGAATATCTTCGATTTAAATAAATTTTATTTTTTAGCACATTGCTTCTGCTGCACAGCATATTCTGCTGTGTGCACATTATTTTTAAGATTATAAAATAAAAATATTTCTATTTCAATATTATTAGACTGAATATGATCGCCAAATAAATATAATAAAAATTAGAAAACTTTTATCGTCACCGATTTCACATGATTGCGTTATGAATGAATCATTTTACCTGTAAAAGTTTTCGGAACCGCCGATCGCTACCAAGCAATAGGAATTTGTCAATTTTGAGAAGACACCGACCTCGTTGTTGTTCTCGAATTGTACACGGACTGCCATGATTGCGATCGTACGGACTTTTACATCAGAATGTATGAAGCAAAATCTCTCAGCGATACCCTTTCTTCTCGTACGAATTCCCTCGTGTAAATGGTGTAAATGCTAACCTAAAATTTACAACAATCGTCGACACTTTAGATAACACATGAGATTTCCGCTTCCGTCCTGGAACACGCTATAACACGATGCGAATGGTGATAGATGGCGCATTCGAAATCGTCAATCTATCGGCGATATTTTCAAACTTCAAAATTCGCAACACTCGCATGATAACTCAAACATCGAGAGATAAATATGCTAGTAAAACAGAGAACTACTAAACCGAGCAAGATATACTGTTTAAATATTACCGATGAATACATTGTTAGTGTTGCGCGCGTTCAAAGTAAGATTAAAATTGCATTTTTCTGTGCAAGCGCAATGATGATGAAACAAAATGATCATATTGATTGAAGATTTACATTAGGTTATGCAATGATAAGAGATAAAGCGGTAATTGTATAATTAAATCTTTTTGCAATAAAACAAGATAATAAACCAATGTGATCTGTAATACATGCAGGTGTTAGATACATAAAAATCATAATATGAAATAAGGTTATATTATTACTGTCTCACTTCTTTTATTAACTTGGCGAACTCCCTGTTAAAAATAAGTAAATTCTTATATCGGCAAGAAATACACAAATTTCTCTCTGAATTTTATATTTCTTCTAATTGAATTTATTTTTGTTAACTTTTTAACAAGATTTGTCTTTCTTACAGAATTGCTTTGTGTAATGCAGAGTTATGACGTTTTATCCTGCATCTTGCCTGTTGTCCTGTGTGTGTTTTGTTTGAGCTGCGAAATCTAATTTTGTCATTGATAACTTCATCAAATCTCAGTCTTCTTCATTGATCAATCATGTACAAAAACTGGGCAGGAATATGCGATTCTATGGTGGAATGGAAACACACAAGGTAAGTAAGAACAAATTGCAATTTTGTCATTATATTTCTATGAAATAGGATTTAAAATAAAATCAAGGGAAATCGAAAGATTATTTACTTTATAAGTGTTCGATAAAATTGAAATTTTCAGAATGCAACATTTTATATGCAATATTATCAAATATTGCACATTATCATATTTACAATAGTATCAAAATAATGAGCAAATAAAAAACGCTTTAATAGTAAAATATAAAAGTAGAACTAAAATACGCCTGCTTTGACAAAAATTATGAATTTATAATATATATAAATAATTCGTAAATGTACACATATATGTTTACGGTAAAATTCTTAGCTTTTGGGACTAAAATAGAGTATGAAAGGAATTTATGCAAATGTTTATTTATAACAAAAATTGAATATATTATGAGCATCATATAGGAATCATTGGTAATTGATTGTTCGAGAATGCTGCAAAATTGTCACATTCACAACATTTCAGAATAAAAAAATTTTATTTTTGAGTAATAGCTACATATTGTCCACGAGTTCGCGAATGCAATTCACAGAACAAAATTGCAAATCAAGTTTTGGATAGCTGTCTTGCATTTTATTTTTAATAGTTATTATTATGGATTATAATGTTTTCACGTTCACGAACTTGTGGATGATAATATATTACACATAGCTTATGCCTAAGGTGTTAATAAAAATAATGATTGATGAAAATCATTGTTTTATTAACAATATTATTATAAGTGTTATAAATATGCGTAATTCTCATTTTGATTGGTTCTGAGATTGTATCGATCGTCTTATTTTAGAAAAACTTGTCGGCAGTGTATTTTGCGAGATTGTTTCGTCATTTTTATGTAATTCGCCACAACAGAATCGCATCGATTCCAATAATTTGCAATTATTACATGCATATATATGTATATGCAGTTCTAAACATATTTCATACTCATAATAATCGATGATAGAAATAGGACTACAGTTTTATGTTTGATTCTGTCATTTTGTTCCTTCGTTCACACTCTTACTCTCTATCTCGCTTTCTTTCATACGTGTATATTGATATAAAATAAAGCATAATAATGCATAATTATAAAATCTTCAGTTGTTCGGCTTGAACGTCGTGTATTGCGGCGGCTTCTCGCTCTTGTAATGGTGCTTCAACGTCGCTAAGCGATCGGGTTTGAGAAACAGCTGCTCCGCCTGCACAATTTCCATCTTAGGATCTTAACCCACGACATGTCGCAAATTTCCATCCGTATTAACCTGCTACGGCTCATAAGACAACTTAAATTGCGAATATTTATTACTGATATTGGATATTTCATGGAGAAACTATGCATTTGAAGACTAGTTGAAAATTATTTTCAAACTATCTGAAATCGCCTTATCTTTAAAAAAAATGAAGATTATGTTTATGGAAAGTGTTTTTCAAACGCATAATTTCTATTTTTCAAATATACGAATTTAGAACAGTTTGGAAATAAGTTTTTCATTTAATAAAACAGCATAAAGAATTAGATAATATATATAAATTGATATAAGTTAGATTTATATCAATACAAATATGGATATATTATTTTATACAAGTTCGGACTATAGAAAGCTAATACAGACAAAGGTATACGCGTGTAGTAAACGGATGGGCACAAATTGCTATCATAATATTCTACAGGTTATAACTTGGCAGTCGGGGGATAGAAACTAGCATGGGTGCAATCTGTGCAATTCTATGCGCGCCGGAAATGCGGCACGCGAGCACGTAAAGTTGCAGGGTCGTTCTACACCCCTGGCAACGCAGGTGCCAAATAGTCCAGGCTACAGTTAGGGTAGTAGATCCAGCATGACAGGCAAGACCGAAACTAAGGGAATAAAGTATATATAAGTACGTATATGCATAAATACGTAAAGATGTACATCTCGGGTCGTACAAATACGAGTGCAAATGTGATATTAATTAATACTTACAAAAGTATGTTGTAAGAACTACTATGACAAGTGAACAATAATTTGAACCTCATACGCGATATTTCACACGTACTAATATTACAATAATAGAAAAATAATTCATATTCTTCAACATATAAAGGATGAAAACATGAAAACAACACTTGAAAAAGATTTCGTCGCACTTCGTAGTCAGGATCGGGAGAGATATGTGATCGGGTGTGGCGACAAATGGCAATACGTACGCATATGTGTGATCACTTTTTAATGATGACAACTTTATACACGGAAGAGAACTCGAGAACTTCTCGAAACTATTTCATACGCCATACAATGAAGTCTCATATCGTTAATCCGATTACAAAGTCGGTGTGGTGCTCGCCTCAGACTTAATTAATGACGATGGTAACAGCCGGGAGATACAATGCAGTTAATCTTACTAGAGAACGATCGAGGATAACGGCAAACAACACGGTGCGTCGTATTTGAGTTGGGTGAAAGTAATCAGTGGGAAGTTTCTCTGTACATAATCTCGTAAGGTGCTGGGTACATACAAAATGCAACTCCGACATGCTCGCTTGTTTGGTCGACACATTCTGAAACGTTCTGTACAGCTTGATTCCCCGTTTTTTTTCCCCCCCTCCCCCCGAGAGTATCTTTCTTGAAACCGATAAATTATTCGCATACAATTACTATACAACTGCGCGAGAGATCACTTTGCTTGGCTGTCAGTTGTTTAAATTATTCGTCGTAACAGCGATGTAGAAGCGCACTGTGGCAGTGTCACGAACATGATTGAGCGATTACATCGCTGTTTACGTCAAACTTTCATCGATTGGACGACGTTTCGTATGTTAAATCGCGACCTAAGCGGATAATATGTATATGTGTATGTACATATGCGCTTCGTGTGTTTGACAGATAGTAATATAACGTCGTTAAATCGTAATGAGCATAATTTTAACTAACTAGTTGTCTATCATACAAAAATGATTAACGTGTGGTCTTCAATGGTTCTCTTACAATATTCATCAGCGTTTCAAGTATACGACATTAACGTTTCGTTTCAGACGGAAAAGGGAGAGTGCGTTCGTAGTGTGCATTGATATTTGCTAATCGCGCCTACAATTTTCCAAACGAGGCAGTATGAGGTACGGCAGTAACGAGTTTCGCGCATAACAATTAATTACAACTATTCTCTTATAACCGTGTAAATTTTCGAAACGATTGGATGATCCGGATGCACGATCGGCCGGCAGTTTGTTTGTCATTTTATTAAGCGTTTCCTACGTAAAGCGTAAATTCGGTGGTCTCGGTCGAGTTCAGTCTTACGTTCTTGAATTCCGCAGGGCGCGCGGCTGCAGAGAATACACTCCCTTCTGGATGCAAGCGAAACCAAAACAAAACGAGATGAGCTATCCCCGCGAGAAATGAGCCAGCTCGCGAAAATTGATAGGAATTCAATTCGAGTTTAAGATTAAGCGTTTCCATCTCAAGGAAATGAATTCCGCTCAATTCAGCTTAATTCGGCTATTTTTCTTTCTTTTTTTTTTACAAGTATGAGATACGACTAGGTGGAATCGTGTGCGCGCGTTCAATCGTCCGGGCGGGCGATGGCAGTATTATCGTTGACACGCTCTACTTATGTACATCTATCTAAATTAAATTACAAACAAGGACAGAGCGGTAATTGGTGGAGGAACACCCGGGAACTAGATGCAACCAAATGCATGCGTAATGCACCCTACCGAGCGCATAAATCACTCAAGCGACTATCGCGATCGGAGAACGTGATACGTTCGATGCTTGCGCGAGCAGCGCGTCGCGTGTCGCCGCATAAGTATTGTAATTTAATGACGTTGGATCGTCTAAAAACTTCTTGCGCGAGTCTCTAGTGGATGGTGTCGTCTCGTTTAGAACGTGACATCGTAATAAATTCTTCGGCGCGAAAAATCACGAATGGATGAGAAAACGTTACACGCTAATTACTTTCATCGGCGAAAGGTATTCAACAAATTTTTGGACGACCCAGATAAAGTGTGTTTTTGGTACATTAAAGCGTAATGTGTGTCTATATTTATACATTTCTCCACGTTGGTCGTGTGACGGGAACAATATAAATATTTTATTTGTATATAAAACCTTCGAGATCTTTCCGGGAGAAAAGGTGGAAAGTTTGCGCTCCTCGTTCCTTGCCTTTTTTAATCCGATTTAGAGTGTCCCGTTCCTCGTCTTGTAGAAGGAATTTTTCCTGCGCCAAGATTGCTCGCTCATTGATTCAATTAATGGATATATACGGACGTGTGTGGGGCGCGTCAATGTTTAAACAAACCGTAATTTTATATTTCCCTTCTGTACATACGTTTTTGTTTGACGAGCCCCCGAAAAACGAACAGTTGAAAAATAAATACGTCACCGACAAACAATCCGGCGAATTAATGGATTAAAAAAAAAAAAAATAAAAAAAATAGAGATAGTGTCGACCCGTTGATACGAGTTAAATCGCTACGCTTAACCCGGACGGTTCATTTCACATTCAGGTCAAGTTGCATGCACTTGCAGTTTTGCTTTCGCGAATGCATCGATTAAATTTAAACGCGCGTGCTTCAGGTGGCTACTTTTGAACGAGTGCAAACTGAGCAGGCAGAAGAAAAAAATGTTGTCCAAAGCGGAATAGCTAATGTCGTGTTGGTCGGTGATACGCGTGAGAGAGAAAATTCTATAGTAGATTCAATGCGTTAAAGCGAATAGAGTTTTGCATAAAGAAAAACACACGTATATGCTGTAAATATATCAAAGATTAACAAAACTGCACATTTTAACATCTAAAATTATTTGACAGAAAATAACATTTTTACAGTATATATTAATAATTGTAAGACACTCAACATAAAACTGATCTTTTTATAAAATATTTATCATTTTTAGATTTTTCGGGAAAAATTTTGCTTCTACTGTAACCGCAATTTCTAAATATTATATAATAAAGCAATATACAAGATGATAATATAATTTACATATTGAAAAATTTGTGCAAAACTCTACGATGGCAACAGCTAATAATGAGCTCTAAGTGTGTTCAAAGAAATTAGGTGTCAAAAATTTGCTGCGAGCCTTACGTGCAAATTAGAAGCAACGTTGTGGCAAATAATTAAAAAGAAAGAGAAAGAGAGAGAAAGAGAGAGAGAGAGAGATGGAGAAAAAGAGAAGAGCGATAGAAAAAGCGAGAGAGGAAAAGAAAGAGAGAAAGAAAAAGTAATAAGCACGCCGGATTTCAACTACTGTGCGAAAATAGTTCTTTTTTTTCTATTCTTTTATTTTTAACTTATCTGACCTGCAACGTATATTGTCCGTGAGGCTGCCCATGATGATGATGCCTCTGATAATGTTGCTGGTGTTGCGGGTCGTGCTGATAACATTCCTGCTGGTATTGCTGCGACGGGACGGGCTTCAAAACGTGATTGGCTCGCTTCTCCGGGACGAACTGCTGACTCGTACGCTCCATCGTATCCACTGCCAACCGTGGATCCTCTATCATAGCGTTGGAAGCCTTTGTACTGTGAAAATGGCGGATATTATTCTGGTTTCGTTTCATTAGATGCTTTGTGTATAAATTTTACGTGATACGTAGCGGTAAAATACTCTTCGGATAGTTCTTTTAAAGGGGTTTTTTTTTTGCAACTAGTTTAAATTTTAATTAGATAATCCATTAATTTGCTAAGTAATATTAATTAAACTTTTTTTTTCTGATTATATTTTCTGAAATCATAAGCAGTGCTTATTCAGTGATCCATATAACAAATTGTATAAAAGAAAAGTTCACTATTCCATTCAATTTCGTGTCTTTTCGTGCCCTTCTGCAATAAAAATTCCGTATCCCCGCGTATGCAAATTCGTGGATAGTCGAGTTGAGTTCTGGTCAAATGTACACAATATTGCAGCATCGCGCGTGATCCACGGCGATGTCTACTCGCCTATAAATCACCGCGTAGCGCAATATCGCATGCTTACCAATGCACTTGCTGCAATGTCGGCACTGTGTTTCTGGCTACGCAGCATCTATCCGAACGTAGGAAACAAACGAATGCCATTATCAGTACTGAGAGCACTGTGAATCCAGCTACCGCGCCGATAACGAGTGGAATCTGCGGAAGAGAAAAATATTCTATACGCGTCGTACGCCAAAGCATTTCGCGTGAATATTTGTATATGATTATTTAATTCATAAAGTATTTTTTTAACGTCTGCTCGGATATATATATTGAAAGTTTCAACACATTATCATTTCAGTATTTAAACATTATTGGATAATTAGATCGCATTTATTTATTCAGTAACAATAATTTTATTAACTACTTGCCGCTTATAAACACGCGTTTAATGCTGCGATATTGAAAGTTTCAAATAAAAAAATGCGTTTATTAAATGACTAACAATTTTTTCTGAAATGTAGCATAATAAAGCATATTTATTTGATCTTATATTTAAAAAACGGCGCAAATTTACTTTTTATACATTTAATATGCTTATGAAAAAAAATTTATTTCCCAGAGAACGTTAAAAGATACCTTTAACATAGATTCGTAATTTGTAAAGCATTACGATTGCGAAGTTTACCTGGCCGGGCTCGTCGACTTTCAGCATGAGCGCTCGTCTGTCACTGCCACGATCGTTCTCCACGATAACGTGATACAGCCTTTGATCCTCCTTCACCGTACTTGTCAACTCTAAGATCGCTATGTAACAATCCTCCGAAGCCAGCGGCTCGAGATCGAGCGCGCGATATCGCGATTCCAGAACTTCACCTGCCGATAATAGAACGAATCCATGCATCTCTCTCGACAATTTCTATTTATTCCTTACTTCCGGTTCTACGATCAACTGAAATAAAATTTCGCAAAATCATAAACACTTAATACGCATTTTATTAAAAAAAAAACTAAGTATTAAATAATAAATGAATACTAAATAACAAATAAAAACATCCCTAAATACTACTGCAGCTCTACAGGATGACGTGGAAGCGAAGAACCGTGTTAACGGAGACTAATTAAGCGTCTGATATCTCAAGTAATGATGAACAGGAAAAATTCATGATACCAGTGGAGAGCATCGATTTGGGTTTCACGGAAATTGGACGGATGTCTCAAGACCGAAGCGATCTCGTGGCTCGGGTTACGAGCGAATGATCAATTAACCGAGGGGGTAATTGCCAGTACGGCGGTGAGATCGTTGATAAAGTACCCGTCGAGAAGTGCCAATTATGCCGAGAAGAAAAATAAATGTGTACGTAAGAGCAATCCCGGGGCGAAGCTCTAATGCTTTTTTCGCTAGTCCGTCGAAAGTAGAGAGAAGTTTAAAGAACTGTAGTTCCGCCGACGAAGGGAAAAAGAAGGCAGAAAGAGAGGAAGAAAAAGAGGAGAACGTTAATAATTATACAGTCGTTTATAGTGCTGAAAATAAAAGTCAAGTTACCGTTTATACGACTCGTTGAAGGTGACAGACGCGGAGACGCATAATGAAAGAGATGCGTAATACGAAGGAAGAATCGCGAAGAAAAATTTAGACGACAGTCAAAGCGATATAAAATAAAGTCGAATCATCGCGAGCGACGTGCCTCGAAAGCGATATCTCTTGCATTGTATTTCGCGTTTACCGATTTACAAAGATAAACATGAGCGCGAATTACTACGCCGTAATTGCGGACAGCGATCTAGAGCGCTATTGTATCGCGAGTGGTAAAACAAAGCAGCCGTGAGATCAATATTCCTTTAAACTCTAATAGAAAGTTTCCGCGAGTCGAGACCCATTAATCCCTCATCCGTTTCGGACAGCGCTCCTCGTCGTTTACTGGAGTATGACACAAGCACGCTTATCGCTTTGTAATATGTTTCGTCTTTGTTTTACGTTTCTAAAGGATGAATTAACTCTTTGCAGTCTTACGAATTCCACGTAGCGATCAGCGATATAACTCGTAAATTATATCTTCAAAGCCCGAAATTAGATAATAAAATATACTCTGAAATCCAATTATCCAAATGAGATGTTAGGCATTTCTCTGCATTTAAAAATAGCGGAAGTTCGATTGAACTGCCCTTTTCGATTACGTTGTTCATCCCTCAAGCCATTTATAATGGAACACGCACGCACGCACACGACGAAAGGGACAAAAGCAAAAACATAATCGAATGCTTCTCGTAATAGTTTGAGGCAAAGCGGTCTCTAACCGGCATGTAGTCTGGTGCTGCCCCATTCCCAGGCCACGAGCCGCGGCTTCGGGTCGGAGCACAGTCTGATCTCTAATCTGGCCGGGCTACCCTCCGTCGTCGCCACGACAAACTTCTCCGTGATGGTCGGCTTTACCACCTGCGACACATGTTTAACGTCCTTTGAATGGAAAGTTCGTTGCTAACATCCTCCTTTCGCGCGATCATCAAACGATGAATGCAAGCGTCACAAACGCTTTCTCCCCAAGTATCGTTCCGGGAACGAAAACTCCGCGAATAACACCATTTCGCGAAAGCCGAGGATTCATTCGACGCTATGCATTTATCGACGTATCGCTGTACGGCGCGGCAACGTTAGCAACAAAACGCGAAATATTGCTGATGGATCGTCGCAATTCTTTTTACTTGGTCGCATATCGAAACCGTACATGAAAGAGACGTTATCGGGAAAAATGGCAGCGACACAATAAAAGTTGCAATTTAATTTAGGTGAGAATGATACGTGACTGAGCATTAAATACGGCAGCGAATTGATATTTTGTTCACAAATAGCAATCTGTAATGTAATTTTCGATCGTGAAAGAAATTCGTGATTTATGACGTGCATTATGTAGCTTAATTTAATATTATTCTGCGCGTCGTGAAATAAAAATATCGCAGCGTTCATGTATTTCTCATATCACGGACACACTGAAATTATCCAGCATTCACTTTTGCTGTATCGCGTTTCAAAATCCTCTATTTCATCACTCGCAGATTGAAGTATGCGCGTGCGAATGCAATTCATCATTTTCGCGATATTTATAACGGCGACACTTGTCGCATTTGCATACATATCGCAATCATAATTAAAACATTGATTTGATTACGTCGTATCGACATTTCAGTTGATTTCCAGTTATCGCGGTTGCGAAATAAATCGCATAACAAAAATTGCGATTGCTCCTTTCGCGTGATATTCGACTCTCACGGCGATCATGTAATATATCTAACGCCGGTTATATATATGTGTGTGTGTGTATGCGCAATACCGAAATAAATTCGAACGCGATATTGACATTAATAGCGCTGCTGAATTTTAACAGATGAAATAGCTCCGTATTAAATGAAACGGAAATTAAACCTTTGCGTGGCCAGTGACCTACATTAAGTTGCGTAGATTTTGCAAGCTGCAAATTTGATATAAAAAAATCACTGCGACATACATCAACAACATCAAGTTTTCATCATTATCAATCGCATAATTAGTTATTGAATTCGGCTACACGGAGAAAATTTTATATAAAAAATTACTATGTATGGTAGTAGCCGCGGATCATGAAGGAATTATAAAAATTTTTCCTATGTTTTTCACATGTGAAACATAGTAAAAATTTTCGGTCCGCAGTTAATGCCGTACATAGTAATTTTTTATATAAAATTTTCTCCGTGTATTGTCCAGAGCGAAAATGCGAAACGCTTCGTGATCATTGAAATCTAATATCCGTCGTACGCATTATTATTGTTTGACTTCGTATACATTATTTATTTGAAAGTTGCACTAGCCACAAAACACTGTCGAGCACATATCAAATAATGAAAAAATTAAATAATGAAAAGAATAATTCTTTGATAAATTTAAATACAGTGGAAATCTGTTTATAACTTTTCTTTGTAATCATTACGCGTGGATATTTGTGATAGATCGCTACACACGAAGTGATCTTTTCAATTAATTGTTATTACAGTTATTTTTACGTATTCAATTGTAACAAATAGTATAAAAGCAGGTCCGCGTCTGCACAATATCGAGGTACTCTTTTCGAGGTGAAACAATATGGTGCTCGTTACAATTAACGAAGATATCGATTTTTAATACCAGTGCACAATAAAACTTGATAGTAATATACGCCCACTGTTGACGGCAGGAAAACTACAAAGCATGTCGCCAATGAAAAACACATTCGGAATTGAATGCGCGTGGTATTTGGTGTTTATATATTGACGTATATATATTATATATGTATATATATATATATACACACACACAAATAGGATTATTATAAAAATAATTTTCAAACATCTATTATAATCATTGGCGATCGATTCACTTCGTGATAATATTATTAAAATAATATTATAAAATGCATTTAGGTTGCATCAAAAATAAATTTGTCGTATGTTAAAAAATGATAAATTTAAAAATAATTCGAAGAATTCTAAATTTTAATTTGCTCGTCAAGTTGTTTTTTTTTTTTTAAACATTGAATTATTCTATAATGTTCTTTTTTACAATAAAGTTACCGTGGTTAATGCAATTTAAATCTTAATATATCATTTTGTCACGAGGTAATAAAACAAAATTAAATTAATATGCAGGAAGAACGTTCCTTCTTCGTTTCTACTAAATTTCTGCGGATATTACGTTTAGACAGCCGAAGTCGAATGACGGGTTTCGTCGGAAGACGAAGCACTTGCGGATATCCTGTTACTGCGCGCGCGAGAGATATTCAATGATCCCGGATCTCCGTAAAGTAATGAAGCGATATTTTTTCGCGCCGGATTCGCCGGAAACGGTATTCGTCAATGTCCGCCCTCCTCGATAATTCTGATTTGCAGCGAAACTTTTTCAACGTTCTACCGCGTCGTCTTACCCGTGGAGCGCCGACCACTTGCAGGGACACAGGGTCGCTTTTAACTTCCCTGACTTTGCCATTGATCTTGTTGGAGGCGAGACATATGTATTGGCCCTGTTGCTCGTACGTCACGTTCGTCAGGATCAATCGCTGCCCCGTCCCGCATTCCAACGGCATCCGTCCGTCCGTGAATACCTGCGCCCATCTGCACATATACGCGACCACACGGAAATTTGCAAATTAAGGACACTTTCAAATGCGAATTTGCGATAGTAAAAATATACAATAACAAAAAGAGAGAAAGATATAGAAAATAACGTGGTTAAAAAAAAAAAATGTTGCAAACGTCGAATCAAGATGCAAAATTCTAGTAAAAAAAGAAGCATATTATATTTTTTTTACAAAAAGCCACACTAATCAAGGTCTTTGAAAAGTTATACTGTTGATAAAAACGCATTATATAAATGTGGAAAGATTCAGAATTAAACGATTGACATGGATCACCTGTAGTCGGCCGGTGGCATCGCATCAGCGTGACATTCGAACGATGCACCGGAATACAACAATGCAGTCGTCAATCGATCCGGTCCGACCGCGCTGATCGTCGGCGGATCTACGAAAAACCAGAGCTCGCTTTGAGATTACAATTAAATAATAAATAAAAAATTATTTTAGAAGACAGTTTCTCTAGTGATTCTACATTTTAAAAATCATATTGATACATATAATATCGTTCACACAATAAAAGTTCGAATAAAATTATAGCCAAAGGTTGTGAAAATTGCGGAACACAAATTGGATAAAAATAACAGATGAAAGCGTCGAAATAATAGCGGTGCACGTACAATTTACGGACACCTGAACCGAGATCGGGCTGCTCTCGCCCTCGGTATTCGACGCTTCGCAGAGGTAAACGGCGGCATGATTTCTGTAAATTGGAGAGAACACTAGAGTCTCTCCAATATTGGCCACCTCCGTCACACCGGGACTCTTCGTTTTCCTCCAGAGGATGGAAGCCGGCGGATTAGCGTCGGCGAGACATCGGATTTCCAGCTGATCGCGACCCTCTTCGAGCTGGCCAGTTGGGACGCCCACTAATCTCGTCTCCGGCGCGTCTAAATTCATGCGAAATGCACAGTTAATCACGACAGCCATAATCGCCTTGTGTGAATATATACCTCCTGTATATATGACAATATGTATCGCAATATGTATCTTCTGATAGATATCTCGATTATTATATTACAATGTGCGGAATTTAGCAAATATATTCTCTGCCCTTCAAGAGAGACCAGTACAATGTATGGATTAAAAGATGGTTCCTATTTCAAATTAAGCACTTGGGTATTTTGCAAAAATTTTTATGTTTATATTTTTTTATGGCTTAAATTAAGTCGGATTTTAATTTTTGCCGGCGCTACATCTTTCGCTTTTGAGAATTATAAAGAGTTAATTAGATAATGTCGCGGGGTTTACAACAGCATAAGAATATTTAAACATAATTATAACATGAGCAGCATCAAACAAGTTGCGCAAATATTATTATTAACAATATTAATATTTATATAATAATGCTGTGCGGTAGCTTCTTTAGGTACACATTCGTTTTACATCTTTGAATCGAAATAAAAAAACAAGGGTAAGACTCGCCGTAATGGTTTTAACGAGAGCAGCGCGGAAATTACGTATAATTATCCCGGAAGAGCTCTTTCATATTCATGTCGCTTGGTAAACAGGAGGAATATAACATAAATGCGGTCGAGGAAGCAGGTCCGTCATCGCTACCGGCTTTAATCACTCCGGAATCACCGGTCGCGATGTATGCGGAAGACCGCGAAAGATAAACGTTAGATGCAAAAAACAAAGGTGGTCCATAAAGTTTTTAGATTAAAACATTCATTAATGAGCCTATGGCAAGTTCTACATCTAAAAGTGTTTCGCAGTTGATATTTTTGGGATAAAATTCCGATTCGATAATTATTAAATTTCGTCACGATAATTTTAGCACGATCTATTCGTCGAGTGATCGGAATATAGGAACATGAGATAGAAAATGAAAATAGAAAGATCATATATCTAAAATATGCAATGGGTAATTAAATTATAACTACGTATCTATATTTTCTTCTCCTATTTCTGCCTGATATATATATAAATGTTTTTATTATTGCAATAGTTTTTATTATTATAATTTTTCTGCGCATTAATATATTGTATTATGTAAATCTCATATATTACCTGCTATTGATCTTTATTCATTGCATTTAATAATATTTCCTGATGATATTTTAATAATTCTTTAACGTTTCATATAACAGTTTTAATGGATCGTGCGCTTTAAAATCTAAATAAGTATCTTGCATTCACCATCTCTTTTTTTAAATATGACTACATCCGAGAAAGCATCTCGGACGCAATTTACATCAACGCGGACAAAGGTGTACACGTCGCCACCATTTTACATGATGAATATCCCAGTTTAAGAGGAAATTACATTACGCGAACGCGGTCAATCGTACCCGTTGTTTTCCCGATGGACCAGGCAAACCGGAAACACTGCGCTGACTTTGGTTAGTGTATAACTGATGGTACCTGGTGGACAGGGTGGAAAAAGCGCGTACCCCGGGTCACGCGATAATTACCTTCTTCGCATAATTAATTAATCACCGTGAGCGATGAATTTCACGAAATATATTACAAGCGAAAATGTATTGCGCTGCCGCAATATGTATCAGTATTAATTTCTATGTAATGAAAATATCGTTATATATTCAGATTGTAATTTATTATCGTGGTTGTTATTTGATTCTTCAGTAGACGATCCACTGCTGTTATTTATAGATCTTGTTTCATGGCGAACCAATACGCAGTGAATGAGCGCTAATATTGCTCTTGGGATGTTTAAATTTGTATTCTTTCTTTTGCATCATTAAAAGCGCTGTTTAAACGTATTGTATTTACGCTCTCGTCTCGTATAAATTTTTTGTTATTTATACGATATGATTAATAATTCTTTTCCTTTTAATTTCGGCGAGCCGTAATTTCGACGGACTTGATGACGCACGGACTGTAATTTTGGCTGATTTTGATGGAAAACTGGCACAGTTACGGCATCCCGCCTAGTGATGACGTAATTCATGTTTATTTACGCGATATTTATTTAATTTACCGCTGGTATAAACCGGAGCCAATTTTCATCAGCGAGCTGGTTCACTTCTGGTTTCCATATTCATGTAATAGGTCGTCGTTGTGGCCATTAAAAATGTTAAACGGTGTTACGTTTAATGAATAATATTACGGCGTATTCAACGAGATGAGCTACAAATACAAACCGAATTACCCCACATCGCTTTGAGAATATAATATGATATATATTTTAACTTAAAACAAAAACGGCATGTGTATATGCATACATTTCATTGTGTGCGTGTGTGTGTATGTGTGTATACATCCTATATCTATTGTAAAAAAACTTCTTTAATATTTCTCTGCAATATCCATTTTTGTATAATTTAAATTGGGTCAGATTTTATAATTAGATTTCACAAAAGTTACGATTTTTAATTATTCTAATATTTATACACATTATTACTTCATAATATGATATATATTATTCCTATTACTTCAGTAATTAATATATTTTTTAATATATTTCAGTATTAATATATTAATATATTTCGCACCAACAACCAGTGATGGCTCGAGATGCCTTTGAATATATGTTAATTTAATATATTTCTCTCTAAATTTTGCCTTTTATTGTCAATTCTATATAAGACTAATAACTATCTGTTCGGCTAAAGCGCAATTAATTAATTAATTAGTGCTTTGATATGGAGGAAGATTATATCGATAGGTGAATTAATTACAGCAAGCAACCGTAATTGAAATTAAATGAAATCTATAAGTGAGAGATATCCATATGAAATGGAATAAAAAATCCTTAAATAATCGTACACAATCTTGTATAAAGTCTGGCGTTTTTCTACGAATTTGCATGCTTTACTATCTCTTTCTTTTGGACTCTGCACGATTGTATTGTAAAATTTAAATTTAATAAGTTCCGGTTAATTTAATTTAACTTAACAACATTAGTAAACTGCCTAAATGCCATGTTGCATTTTCATGAAAAGTACAAGTGCACATAGTGATATTATACAAACATAAGAAAATAACTAGCACGAACAACACCAAGTTAAGTCCAAAAATTTATAATTAAGATTTAATTATACAGATATTTAAATATCACAAAAATGTGACAAAAATAATCTCTCGAAATTTTCTAAAAAAAAAAAAACACGATTTTACCGTGGAATCTATCATTTATTATAATACTTAATGATTAAAATTAAGATTGACAGTAGGTATCTCGAAAAGTCCTATTAATTAAGAATAATGTAATTATTGAGACTTTTTATTATAATTATTAAAAGATTGCAATCAATTGCAATCATTATAATCTATCTCGAAATTTAAGGAAAGAATTGTGAAAAAGGAATTAATTACAACAAGTGGATTAATTGCAAGTGAATTAAAAGTCGAATAAAATTTGAAAGAAAAAAAGAACTCTGAACACATTGAACGATTTAATTATTAAAGTTGAAACCACCGATGCTTTTTGATATTGCATCACCATTATTTAAACAAGCAATCTGCCAAATACATTTTCGTTAGCGCAAGAGCCGTGATCTACCGTGCCGCAATTCATTTTTTTCGATTGCCTATAAAATCCGCCGGATTATTTAACGTAGAAAACAGAAAAAGACTGGGAGAAAGGAAGATGCAAGATGAAAAAGTCAGCCGATGTGTGGGTGCTCGAATCGAGTTGCCATTTCCGTCCGGACGCGTATAGCTAGCGCAGCTGTTCATTTCACGTAACAGCGATTCCGAAATACGCGCGATGGAACAGTCGCTGACCCATTCAAAATTTTAGCTGCACACCCTTACTCTCCTTTCCTGCCTTTCTCTATTATCTTCTTCCACGCCGATCAGTATCGCGCTCGATATACGGTTCTCTTTTATCCAATCTTACGCACGTTCTGCATATTCTGCAAAAGATTAGAGTGTATCTAGGAAGAATCTATCGAATAATTTTTTTTCGTAAATATTGCAGAAAAATTGGAATGTAAACTAATTTTCTCTTAGATTAATATTTTTTTTTTAATTAAATGTCAGATGTATTCAATTTAATAGGTATTCCGACCATCTTAAAGATCAATATTTTAAAGTTTTTGCCAATCTTTATCGTTCGCACTTTTCATTGGGTGATTGATCTGCTTTCGTTTATTATAGCCAAGCAAACTAACGGAACAGTATTATACACAGACTTAGAAGTCAACTGTTTATCGAATGTTTACGGAAACCCGAGTAACTTGAGTTTGAATATCCTAGAAAAGTTATAGGCGGCTGCTGCGGCTATTAATGCCACCGACAGCGCAGGAGGGTAATTTTGCCGGAGGCGCGGGCGAATTTCGAAGAGATTTCCCTAAACTCGATTAACCGGTGTGTACCCTACGCATTTTACCGCGCCCCGCCGAAAATCGATCATTTAAAAAATCTTTTATTCAGTGAGCGACTCTGGTGCTATTTCCATATCGGCGCTCGCGTCGTCGTTTGAAGTTTACTCAAGAAACGACTGAGAATTACACGCGAGTGAATAACACTCACTCGCAAACCACCAGCTGTGCGCTGGAACACCGCATCCATGCTGGATTTACGCATCGCAGAATCGTTGCGTGGATGGATTTTACGGGGAATATTTTTTTAACGAATCCTTCACCATGTAGAATGGGTTGCCTTTTGGATCCTTCTGCTGTTTCTACGGTTATACAAGTTACTAAAATTCGCGAAAATACGGAAAACAAATAACAGTTAAAAAATTGAAATTTGGAATGGACTAAAATATAAAGTCGAAAAAATAATTTGCAACAAAAAGACAATAAAACGATAAAGCAAAACGTAATAGCGAAAAAGGAAAGATTAAAAGTTAAATAATTGTAGCTTAACATTTTTTAACATTTTTCCGGTTTCATTTATATATGTTAATTTTTGTATAATTTTAATTCTGAAAATATAAAATAAAAAATTATGTAGTGTTTACGTTAGCAAAACGGAA